CAGTATAACCCCTGCTTTCACTGTATTTGATGTCGGTATAATTTGTGGAGGGGAAGGGGAAAAACAAGTCATTTAAATAAGGATACAAGTGGACCCGTTGCAACCATGAGAAGTACAAGTTGTCAGGTCGAAAACAAACTTTACAACTTTGGTGGGGGGGGAGGATTGGGTGAGGGGGGCAGGGGGGAGGCTGGGAAGGGATGGAAAGGGTAAACAAAGGAGGAGGCTACAATGCTTGATAAGAAATGTACTTATTATCTTGCCCATGTAATTGTAACCCCTCTGTACAGTATTTTCACAATAAAAAATAAAAAATATGAAAATGTGGTATATATACACAATGGAATTCTATGCCTCCATCAGAAAGAATGACATTGCCCTATTTGTTAGGAAATGGAAAGACTTGGAAAAAAATTATATTAAGTGAAGTAAGCCAGGCCCAAAGAAACATAGGTCCCATGGTTTTCCTTATTTGCAATACCTAGTATATGTCTGAGTCAAGCAGAAAAGGTCAGATAAGTTGATGTTAGGGAAATGAACCCTAAGATATGTATTCAAATGTTTTTTTCTTTCAGGTGATTGTTTCTAACATATTTATAAGATGATTTCTTTGTTGCTTTGTATGTCCATCACCCACAATATAACCCCTGCTTTCACTGTATTTGAGGTTGATATAATTTGTGGAGGGGAAGGGAAAAAACAAATCGTTTAAGTAGGGATACAGGTGGATCCATTGCAACAATGAGATGTACAAGTCGTTATGTGGAAAAACGAACTTTACAACTTTGGTGGTGGGGGGAGGAGGATTTGGTGGGGGGATGGGGGGAAGATGGGAAGGGATGGGAAGGGGAAACAAAGGAGGAGGCTACAATGCTTGATAAGAAATGTACTCATTACCTTGCCCATGTAATTGTAACCCTTCTGTAAAGTATTTTCACAAAAAAAAAAAAAGAATGACCTGTTCTACAAAAGCTCAAAAGCTATGTACATATGACCATCTAAGATGATACTAAGCAAAATGAACCCCAAGGTATGGGCACAAGAAGGTTTTTAAAATTGTTTTTAATGTACTATGTGATTTTTTTTATTCTTTTGTATGTTCTTCCCCCTATGTATAATCCCTGTTGTCACTGTATTTGATTGTGGTACCCTGCATCTTGTATATACATTTATCTAATTTGGGGAGGAGAAGGGGAATAACAAAATGCTAAATCAAGGTCAGAGGATGACCCACTGCAACAATGAAACTCACCAGAAACTACATTGGAAATGATCTTTACAACTTTGGAGGGGCGAGTAACAATGTTCAACGACAAGAAATGTACTCATTACCTTACTCATGTAACTGTAATCCCTCTGTACAGCATCTTCACAATAAAATGAAATTTTAAAAAAGAATATCCTGTTCTTTTTTTAATTCCACTCATTGGAATTCTCCTCCAAAATGGATTGTTATTTCATTTGAATGCTTTGATCTCTTTAAATGATTTGTTTTGTGGTTGTGCATCAGTAACAAACATCCCAACATTTTCCAGCTCCTCTTTCTCATGAAGATCTTGTGTTTCTTAAAGTTATTTGTTTACTATTGGTGGCATCTTAGTCTTGGAAGGGACTTTGGCAAAGATCTGATTTTAAAACAAAACTCATCACAGAAATGAAGGTAATTATTCAGCTTTTGCTTAAAAATGGACAGTGGACTTTTTCCTTCAAGACAGGCTTCTTATTGAAATGAACTATTAGAAAGAAGATCAAATTTCTCTGTTGACTAGTCAAACTGATTATATAGGAGTAGAAAGGATTGAGTTTTAACACTTAGGTTATGTATGTGTATAAAAAGTACAGGAAGAAAAATTCATGTTGGTCTCCAAATTATTTCATAGTTAGCATCAGGAAGAGAAAGCTAAAACCTAAGAAAGATTTATACCTATAATCTGAAAGGTTCATATCTCTCTTTCCTCTAACCACAGGATAAATATGGCTCATGGCAACTTGACCTTATGGAATACTAACTTTTGATGTATAATAAAATAAATATGATTTCCATCAGTTTTTAAAGGGTCTTCCTACACAATTTTCTATCCTGTAATAAATGTTTAAAATGATACTTTCAACATCACATCACATAATGTTTTTCAACAGCACTTTTCATGAAGGGTAAAGACTAGGCCTTATTTATCTTTGTTTCAATTGTGCCTAGTAGAGACCAGGAAGAGCTCAATGCCTTTCTTAAATCAATGACATAATTAAGATTTGTAGTTAGTACAATAAATAATCAATTGTTTGCACTAAGATTTCTTAGATAATTCTGTATTTGATATTTCTCTTTACCATTTTCAGATTAGCTGTAATATCAATATTCACTCTAATTTTCATTAAAAATTGGCTAACATGTTTGCTTTCTTTTTTTAATGTTTTTTATTGTGAAAATACTGTACAGAGGGGTTACAGTTACATGAGCAAGATAATGAGCACATTTCTTATCAAGCATTGTTGCCTCCTCCTTTGTTTTTCCCCTACCATCCTTTCCTCCCACCTCCACAACTACACTCACCACCCCCCCCCCCCCCGCCCTGCCTAAATTGTAAACTTTGTTTTTCAACAAAGCATCTTCTACATCTCATTGTTTTTTTAAATTAATTTTAATTTTTTGTGAACATACTGTACAGAGGGGTTACAATTACATGGGCAAGATAATGAGTACATTTCTTATCAAGCATTACAACCTCCTCCTTTGTTTACTCTTCACATCCCTTCCCAGCCTCCCCCTGCCCCCTCCAATCCTCCCCCACCCCCATACATCTCATTGTTGCAATGGGTCAACCTGTATCCCTATTTAAACATTTTGTTTTTTCCCTTCCCCTCCCCAAATTATACCAACATGTTTGCTTTCTATATGCCAAATTCTTCTTGACAGTAGTTACTCCTTCCCCAACTAGTTTGTGGTGCTAGTTTTCTGTGAACATCCATACTGACTTACAGTGTCTGTAGTCACACAAGGGCACACGTGAAAACACATTTACAAACACACAGATGCAGCCAGAGACAAAGATACCCTCCTCTTGAGCCTTACTCTAGACCAACAGTTTAAAAGTTGTCTTCACAGGGCTCAACCAGGGAGTGGTCATGCTGGACGCTTGCCCCATTAATAGAGCTTGATTATAAGGCAGCAAAAGTGCCAAGCCTTTCGAGTCTGGCCGGCAGTTCTCTCACTGGAAAAACTAATTAAATACATGGACCTTCAGCAACTATAACTTCCATAAACCATATGGCAAGGAAAGATTGTAAAAGAGTTTATTTGATGAGCTGAAGTGTACCAAAGATAAGTTTGTACATTTCATCAAAAGTTGCTTACATTTTGAACTTTCTTTCCGAAAAGTTTGCTTTGATGTCAGTCTCTTCAAACTTTTACATCAGGAAACGCAAAGAGTTTTCCTCACAATACCTGGAATGATCTGATACCAAGGCATAGAGAATTAGCTTGTAGGAAGAAGCCGACACATGTAGATCATGCGTAAGCAAACTTCAGCTACACTAGAAGCCTGTAAAAACTCAGAACATTTTGTGATTCAGATCATATACACTGCAGTGCCATAAATTTTAATGAATTTTATTTTATTTATACTCCTTAGTGATAGTGATGGCGGGTAATGGTGGTAGGTGGTGGTGGTGGTGGTGTGTGTGTGTGTATGTGCGTGAAAGAGAGAGAGAGAGAGAGAGAGAGAGAGAGAGAGGGAGAGAGAGGAGAGAGAGAGAGATTGATTTTCTTCTTTGAGAGTTTTTGTTTGCTGGTCCTGGGACTTGAACTCTGTCTTGGGCGCTGTTCCTGAGCCTCTTTGTGCTCAAGGGTAGCACTCTACCACTTGAACCACAGTGGCTTCTAGTTTTTTCTGATTATTTTTTTTTGGAAATAAGAGGCTAACAGACTTTCCTGATCCTCAGAACTCAGTCTCCTGAGTAGCTAGGATTACAGAGGTGAGCCACTGGTGCCCAGCTTCTCTGAGATAGTTTTATTGATATTTAGATATTTACCCTTTCTCTTTGTAGTTCAAAATTTTCCCCCTTTACTCTCTCTTTAACTTTCTATTGATTACTAAGATTTATATATTAATCATCCTTTTACTCCCCAAAATAACTACAGGTGGTAGGGAGTTGTTAGCAGGAAATTCTGACATGTTAGTCAAATCTCTTTTTAAAATTGCTATTATTTAGTCATTAAGAAGTTCTATTGTACTGTAAAGGTGTTGAGAAGATTGTGAAGGCACAGTTCTTCAGCGTGTCTTTGGAGGAGATACAGATTACAATATTTTAAAATGAAAGTCACCATCAAAGCTAGGATTATTCCAGTCCTTCAGAGGACTGAATTGTTTTGGTTCTGGTGATGAATTTCATAGTATCTTCAGAGAGTACCTATAGGAGCTGGAGTGTGCTCAGGATAATTAGGATTGCTGTGGGTCAGTACAATGACTTTACATTTCTAATTTCAGGACTCACACATCCCACAAAACACTGAGTAAGCAGGGATTTTAAATAAATGCTAATTTTCTTGGGTCAAATAGTTCTTTCTATCTTGAATCTTGAATGCTGTTCTGTTCCTCTTCGGTTTCAACACTTTTCTTTGTTTCTCAGCTTAAATGAGACTTCCTCAGGGATACACTGTGACCTTTAGACTTGTCCAGATGATGATGATGATGATGATGATGATCATTTTAGAATGCACTAGAAAAGTGCCTACTTTTCTTAGTACTAGCATTTAACACAAGTATAATTACATTCTTAAAGCTATGTCTCTTCTGTTACAGAATACAAGAATCCTGTCATTTTCTTGAGAAAACATTAAATTCATAGTGATAAAGATTAAATAGCATTTGCCAAGATGTATTTTATATAAAAGCATGCTAAAAGGTAGCATCTCTTCTTTTTTTCAGCTGGAAAGTAAAACTTCAGAAGTTTAGACAGACACACTTGCATACAGACTTTGCAACACAGATGCGTTTATTGGACTACACGCGGGTTTGTTCTCTAATCCAGTTGCGGTAGGCTGCCACTCGGGTATACACACCGGGTTTATCTGGCAGGCCGCACTGATAGCCCCAGCTGACGATGCCCACCACAAACCAAAGCCTCCGCGAGTCTTCTTGTACTAGTGGGCCACCAGAATCACCCTGAAGGAGATAAAATGGTTGATTACTTAAGGGCCTTGGCTGGAATTTGAGTCTACCCCAGAATTTGATCATTCCAATAGCAACAGAGGAAATCATACTCATTGTATCCATTGGTTTTGGGATGATCCTAACAAGTCATGGAAAAATTACTGAATTTTTCCAAGTAAAACAGCATATTCTTTTAGAAATTCTGAGAAGATGAGAAGCCCATTCATTGCCCACACTTTTTCTCAGGTTACTGCCTGGCTTTACCTACTAATCAAAGCTTTTACTAACCCTCAGAAGACTTCTCTGACCTGCTCCTTTCTGCCACACTCTCACCTCTTCTACTCCAAAGCTAGAGAATGGAGTCCATTAGTCCACTGGCCTGGTCTCTTTATTATAGAGAGAAGGAAATGCTGTTTTGAACACTGACGGCACTCAAGCTTCTACAGAGATGTGATTCCCAGATATTTTGGGGACATGAATGTATCTCACCTCTTTAGCTATCTTTACCATCTTGTATGAGGTCTAGTGAATTGTATGTCACCAAGTGTTCTTTTGGTGAATAATGGAAAAGAAATGTATATGGCAGCAAGTAAAACACTCTTTATGGGCTATTTACCAGCCAATTATAATCTTCAACTGGCCAGCAAATATTCAAACATGTGCTAATCCAGAATTAATCACAGAATTAATCTATCATGCTGTATGTAAAACATGCTAAATTTAGCATGATAGATTAATTCTGTGAGCTCTGGGGCTAGATTACCTGGGTTTGAAACTGCTTATCATCAATGTGAGCTTCAATAAGCTATTTAATAACTCTCTATGCCTCAATTTCATTATCAGCAAATAATGTTTTATTAGTTTAAATGAGTTTCATTCATAAAGTAGCCTGAATATAGCCTGGTGATTCACTACTAATAAAAATTAGCTATTATTACCAAGTATGCATCTGTAAAAGTTAGTTACTCATCTGGCTGTTCTTAGTAGTTAGTTTTTCCATGCCTTCTTAATTACTGGTCTATATGGCAAGAAGTTGCATGCTAAATGCTACCTCCTTTGCATGGTGCACGTGTGCTTGGGTGAACTTGTTCCCAGAACTACCCATCATTGTGATTTGTTTCTTGTTTCTGTTATTTTTTCTCTGGTGAAAACATCTATTTTATTTTATTTTATCATTTAAAAATGTTCATCACTTATTATAAATTCAAATACTAATCAAGAGTAATTTTACATAATCATTACAAATATCATTTTATTACTATTGTAAAATAGAATAAAAGACCAGTCCCAATATATTACCTACCTATCATTATTCTTAGTTCTTAGTCATTACCTAAATATCTTAAACAATCTAAATAGTCAAAAACATCTATTTTAATTTTGAAGAATTGGGGTTTTTGAACTCAAGGCCTTTTGCTTGCCAGGTAGCTACTCTATCACATGTGTCTTTCTTTATCCCAGCTCTTTTTGCTTTAGTTAACTTTCAGATAGGACCAGTCTTATTTTTTTAACCCATGGCTGGCCTTAGCCTTTGATCCTCCAATCTATGCCTCTACCTCCCCCCCCCCCATAGATGGAACCACGGCACAAACAATAATATCTGTCTTATTTGATAAGATAGTTTTTATAACTTGTTTGCCCTAGGCCTGCTTGGAGCTATGATTCTGCTAGCCTCTGTCTCCCAAGAAGCTGGGTTAAACTAATATGCCTAGATTTAGTAACAAAATTTTCAATATGATATCTTATAAAACAAATGTTCAATTAAGAGAGGAATATAATTTTTCCTATGTATAGCCAGCTTTGCTGCCTGACCATGGACATTTGAGCTTCTGTTCTCTCTACTGGACCATAGACTAGGTGAGTACCGAGAATGCTTTTTTTTACATGGGCTCAATGAATGGAACATAGAAAATAATAAATACAATGATTTTTGGATGAGTGAATCAACAAATGAAAGAATGAGACAAACAAGATCTTGTAAGACCAAATGTAGAACATTATTCATTTACTGATGTTGTTGTTGTATGGGAGCTTGAATCCAGAGTTTCCCACTCCATAGGATTGAACACTACAGTTGAAGCCCTGCTTTTTGCTGGTTATTTGGAGGTAGAGTCTAGCAGACTTGTCTTTTTCTTTCTTTTTTTATTTTGGGTCCGGTCGTGGGGCCTGAACTCTGGGCCTGGGCACTGTCTCTCAGCTCTTCAGCTCTAGGCTAGTGCTCTACCAGTTGAGCCACAACATCACATCCAGTTTTTTTTTCTGCTTATGTGGTGCTGCGGAATCAAACCCAGGGCCTCATGCATGCAAGGGAAGCGCTTTACCACGGAGCCACCTTCCCAGCCTGAGTCTAGCAGACTTTTCTGCATGGACTAGCCTCAAATCTTGATCTTCCAGATCTGAGGATAACAGGCATAAGCCAGGCATTCATTTTTTTTTGTACATAAACTGAATTCATTGTAGTATTTCGTGTGTGTGTGTGTGTGTGTGTGTGTGTGTGTGTGTGTGTTGGGCATGGGGCTTGAACTCTGGGCCTGGATGTTGTCCCTGAACTCTTCAGCTCAAGACAGGTGCTCTACCACTTGAGCCATGGCACCACTTCTGGTTTTCTGGTGTTTAATTCCTTCCCTGGGCTGGCTTTGAACCATGATCCTCAGATCTCAGCCTCCTGAGTAGTTAGGATTATAGGAATGAGCCACCAGTGCCAAGCTTATTTCATTTTTTTTTTGTACATAAACTGTATTCATTGTAGTACCTAATTACCAGTTAAGCCTGAAGGCAACTTATGGAAATTTCATGATGAGTTATGTTTCAAAGGAACTGGGCTCAAAGGAAGAGTAGAATGTGTATACACAGGATAGAAGTAGAAGCCTAAGTGAATAAAACCTTTGTTTAACATGCAAAATACTTGGAATATATCATGTACTCCATGTATAAAGCCTTTTATATCTCATGGATGCTCTTAAATCATATAATTTATTCACTTTGCAGATCTCAAATTGTCAGTGTGTATTATTTGATTGTTGAATTCTCTTTAGAAAGCTGGTAAAACTTAAGGCTTTGTTACAGTAAGATTTATTCCTTACAGGGGATAAATGAGTGAATGGGAACTGAAAAAATCTTTGAAATTGAGAAACAAATTGCTGCTGTACACAACTCCTTACATGAACTATAAATAGCACTTCTTGTCTACTTTTTAAAAGACTGAGTGCAAATTATGAAACTCAGTAACATTTGATGCAAATAATAAATCTTATCTATTTGTATATAGTTCATGTAGGAAAACAGTAGGCAATTCCTTAAGAGATGGAATCTAGAATATTTAATTACTTACACTGACTACTTGTTCTTGTGACTCTATGGGAGTTGAATTTCATAAATAAGGATAAATCTGTTACTTGTTATAAGAAGCTGATATGTGTTCTTGCTTGATTTAAAATAATTTAGTTAAAAAATTTAATATTAAACCTTATTATAATTACTGTAAAATAAGTGTTTAAAAGTCATTGTTTTTCTTTATATACTCAGTTAAGAATTACAGGCTATATCCAAATAATTACTTCTTTTCCTTTATTTTCCATTTGTCCTATCACACTATTGTGGGAGCTTATATGATTCAAATAATTAGGATTTTGTACAAATTTTCTCTATGCAAAGTACTATAAGAATTATTTTATTTTATAATGTAATTGTTGTCTATGAATCTCATGAATTATAGTCAATGTGAATTGATAATAAATTGATAAAACTCTGCTGTGATTTGTGGACACAATGTGAAATAATTAAGTCAAACTGGGTAATTTCTTCATTATTTTAAAATACCTAACTTTTGTAGTATAACATTGAAAATTTACTCTCAGGAATTTTGAAATGCACAGAACTCTATTTTAGGTAATAGGTATATTATATACATATTATATAATGTATATAATGACAGGCAACAGTGCTTTATTTAACCCTTCATAGCAGTTAGAGATTAGAAGTGAAACTGAGTACCCATGACTCATGCGTATAATTCCAGCTACGGTGAAGACTGAAATTAGGAGGATCATAGTTTAAGCCTAGGCTGAGTAGAAAACTTTGAAAACTTCTTTTTTTGGGGGGTCCGGTCATGGGGCCTGAACTCTGGGCCTGGACGCTGTCTCTCAGCTCTTCAGCTCAAGGCTAGCACTCTACCACTTGAGCCACAGTGCCACTTCCGGCTTGTTTTTCTTTTTGCTTCTGTGGTGCTGAGGAATCGAACCCAGGGCCTCAGGCATGCAAGGCAAGCGCTCTACCACTGAGCCACCTTCCCAGCCCCTGAGCAGAAAACTTTGTGAGACTCATTTCCATGGAGGGAACCTAGACATGGGTTGTCTTATCCCAGTAACAATGGGAAACCTAAACATAGGCAAATCACAGCTCAGGAATAGTTCAGGAGTCAAGATTCTATCCTAAAAATGACCAGTATAAACCAGCCTGGAGGCATGGCTCAATGAGACTCCTGTGAGTCCCTGAGTTCAAACCTTGATACTTCTGAATGTGAAAATAAAAATAAAAATGGATGTTTTCATGACAGATAAAATTCATAATTTTGTCTCTAAAATTTAATCATAAATTTTCTTGAGGATCAAGCTCTCTATTTACTGCATCATGTTAGTAAATGCTTATAATCTCCCCAGATTATGATACTGACAGGTTGTTCTGAGCTTACCTGGCATGCGTCCACTCCACCTGTAGGTACCCCAGCACAGAGCATTCCAGAAAGGACAGCTCCATTATAAGCAGTTGGTGCATTACACACAGTATTACTTATTATTCTGACCTGTCCTTGCCGTAGATCTGAGACTGTGAAGCCTATTAACACAAAAGCAGAAGTAAAATGGATTTCAAAACATATCAATTGGCGATTCAGCTGATTTCCAGAAAGGAAAACATGCACCTAACATTATTGCCTAACTAGAATGTTAGATATACATGGAAGAGTCTTCCTTGCAATGGTTCCCATTGGGGAGAAGGAAAGTCCCTTTACGTAGATGAATGTTTCTTTTCCCCTCTCTGGCACCAATTTTGTGATACACTGATCCTTAGTCCTTTGCTGAGGAAACTCAGTGCTAACAGAGCTCAAGTCTAACCAGAACACAGGATGGTTCTATCTAGAAGAACCTGTCCTTTACATGTTTCTTAATTAAGAAAATTACATAATGGCTAAGAAAAGAATATTTTTGTTGTTAAGTTACTTGGTTTCACTTTCCCTGACACACTTACCACCGTAAGTAAGAGCTCCCCATCCTGTTACATACGCAGTGGAACCAGGCACTATATTCATTGTGGGTTCTGGGAGACACACGCTGTGGATATCTTTGGTGAATGTTACAGCTGTGTTGAGTTGCACAACTGCAATATCATTTTCTTGGGTTCCAGATCTGTAATTATTATGGACTACAATTGTCCTTATTCTTGCTCGACGTTTCGGAAATATTGTGGAAGCACCGAAGGTGGCAGTCCACTGTTGAGGATTAGAGTAGCTAAAAGAAGAAAGAAAAGAAAACATTCTATTCAAATGGGTATTTGTTAGCACTTCCGGTATTTGAGCTTTGTATTTGCCATTCCCCACTGTCTAGGCACTATTTGATGACTGTATTTGTGCTATATTTTCTTGCACTCCAAGTTCATAATTCAATGAACTTTTTACTGGTAGAGGGATGCTCATGTACCTAAATAGAGAGATGTTAGAAAACGTGTCTTAGAGTGATAACTATCATGGCATTTTTCATATTCCAACAGGAAATCCTAATACTGTTAAGATAGCTAGTATAATATATAATCTCTACTTTGATGGCTCCCTTCTCTATGCCCCCAACCAAGCAACTAAGAATTCTGAAATAATTACCATTCTCATTTCAACTTGTTTTTTTCCTTCCTTCCTTCCTTTCTTCCTTCCTTCCTTCGTTTGTTTCTTTCTCTCTTTCCCTTCTTCCATTATCTTCCTTTCTTTTATTTTCCCCTCACTTTAGCTATTTTTCAGAAAGTATCAGGACTAGGACTTAGACCATAATGCTCCTGCTTATGCCTCCTGGATAGCTGACATCACAGGTATGAGTTTATGTGTTGAGATGAAGGCTCATTGACATTTTGCCCAGGCCGGTCTCAAACTGTAGTCCTCCTTCTCTCGACCCCAATTGTTGCAACTGTAGCTGTCTATTACCATATCCAGAATTAACACATTATTTTCTATTTTCATTTTTCCCCTTTGTTTTTTTCTTTTTGCTTAGTAGTGATAATAAGAAGCATCTTATTAATTAATGAATAATTTTCTGTACTAACACTGATGCTTATTATATGTGTATATACTATATTTATGGAGATATACATGTATATAGAGAAAGAGAAGGTAGGAGAGACACAGAGAGCGAACTAACATAAAAATGTTAGGAATTGAACTTTAAAATAAACCCTCAAAGCCCATACCATAAGGTTAAAAATAAATTTCATTAAAAATAAGAAATAATACTCAGATGAATGAGAAACCATGAGAAAATATTAATAATGTTCACTACCTAAAATATTTTATAGAATATACACACATGTCTGTAAACCAATAAGAAATGGTAAAAAGAAAACCCATCATAAATGATAGTTGGGTTTGATTAGGGCCCAGAATCTAGTCTGGTATACTAATTTTCACAGGAAATTCATAGAAAGAAAGATCAAGCAGCCTTGGATGTATGGGAAACTACTTATGCTCACTGGTAGTCAATACATAGGAACCATAACAAAGAAATAGGACCTATAACTATAACTTACACTCACTGGTAGTCAAGAAATAGGAACTATAACAAAATATTCCTAACGTATATTAATATGAATCATAAAAATTAAACAGGATAAAAATATCAAGTGTTTGTTGGTAGGGGGGAATATGTGTTCATTTTCATTACTGATGAAGATGTAAACATTAGTATTTTGATATACTTATCTGAATATGTATGCATGAACTTATGGGTACATATCTTGGAAAAGTTCCATTAGGTTATACAAAGGCATGCATGAAGGTTTTGTTTATATGTATATGTGTATCTGTGAGTATGCATATGCACGAACCTGTGTATGTGTGCACATGTGTATGTATGGGTATGTAAGAATATGTGAAATTCAGTATGTGCATGCCTGTGTGTGTGCATATGCATGTGTATGAATGCATATGTGTGTGTGTAATTGTATTGTATACCATGATGGTATATTATTATGTGAAACAGAGAGCTACCAGCAAATTAATAAGTTAAGGAACAGTACTTTTGCTTCCATGCATAGGAAGAAAAGACTTTTGGACACAGAATTTTTCCTGGCTCATTCCAATTATGTTTAGTGCTGAGGTTGATGGGTGAAGTCATTCTATCCATGTCTATTCTAACTTTTCCCAGATGGGAGATGCTGTGGCCAGCCACACCTTCTGAAGCAATGAGCTGCTGTCAGGATCCACGTGTTACTGATCAGGATACCTCCACAGTGATGGACGTTATTGACATGTAAACTGACTTGCCAGGGCCAATCACCATCCTCAGCCAGAGTGCCTCCAATGATCCTCTCTTCTGACAGTGTTAACAGGTCTGGACGGGCCCCACATGCTAAGGACAAAAGGATATTACCATTCTGGGAAGACCATGATGTCCTTATGTAAGGGAGATTGTGACAGTTTCTCCATCACTTAACACTTTAATGTCTTTTATGTATTTTTCCCCCAAGACACGATCAACATGTTATCATTTTAGAGTACATCTGTGCTCACTGTAGTTGCCTATTGATTTCATTCTAGAAAATATTTCTGAACATCATTGGCATTGGGGCTCCAAGTTCGACACCATCTTTAGAGACATCTGGAATGTCTTGTGATGAGGTTAAGTTATGTCAGTGCTGAAGTTGCCAGTTTAGGCCACAGACTCCTGGGAAATTTTGCTTATCTCTTAGGACTTGCAAGGTGCATACACCTTAAAGTTGGAGAAAAAGTAGCATCATGGAGACCTGGACTTAAAGATATTTTAGCTCATCATGGAGGTTCCAGTTCTCAGAGTCAAATTCACCCTCTGCCCTCACTGGAATGGAGTTGCTGTAGTCCCACTGAATATTCTGTAGGCTAGGGTAACTTGAGGTATTTAGTTTCTAGAATCTATGTTTATTTAAATGCTTTAAGAAGCCTAATACACTGCAGTTGGTGGGGGTGGGGTGAGCTAAGCACTCAAATCCTATCAATTTCAATTCCTATCATTCTTTTCCCTCTTGTTCAGTTTTTACTAAAAAAAATCAGAGGTAAACTACCAATAAACATTTCTATTGCTGACTAGCCTCCAACCATTTGCAGGCATATTTTAAAAAATAAATTTTGGGGCTGGGAAGTTGGCTCAGTGGTAGAGTGCTTGCCTCGCATGCATGAGGCCCTGGGTTCGATTCCTCAGCACCACCTAAGCAGAAAAATCTGGAAGTGGTGCTGTGGCTCAAGTGGTAGTGTGTTAGCCTTGAGCTGAAGAGCTGAGGGACAGCGCCTAGGCCCAGAGTTCAGCCCCCACGGAAGACAAAAAAAAAATTCTCAGATGGAGGAGTATCAGAATTCAGTTCAGAACATATGTGGCTATGTGACTGTTAGGTCTAAATTATAAACACATGCATATTTAAGGCAAAGGCATATACACATGTATACATACACACATACATATATGTATATACATACATGATCAAACTGACTAAAGTGTACTATATACACAGGGGTGGGTTTTCATGGTATAACCCTTTTGAACAATTCAAGAAAATAAATATTAGGAAGCTGAAATATGTCTTGACTTAGAAGGGTGGAGCATAACAGGAAGAGGGTGCAGATGAATGGGGAGAGCAATAGTAGTTGAATATAGTCTTAATATACAATGTACATACGTGTAAATAGAACTAGGAAACTTGAGACAGGTGAGGATGGTATAGTTGGACAGGGCAGTATGATGAAAAGGATGAGTCTGATACATATACATTGTACACAAAAATAGACACATTAATTTGAACCTCTGTATAAGTTTTTGAAGATGATATAACAATAATAAACAGAATATGCATGGAACACAAATTCTCTTGTTGCATTCCCTAGACAAATTCCCTGATAGATCTATTAAACACAGTTTTATTCAAAGTAAGCATGAATTAAATATAAAATGAAATTGTGCCCATTAGGCTAACATAACCTTGCAAAATAGCTCAAATATTTAAGATAGACTAGCAATCTAGGCATACTGAACTTATTGCTTCATCTTTTCAGTTAGAGAGGTAAGTTGATTTTTCTAGAGATTTTATTTCTGGTATCCTGTCATCATATAGGGAATGACATTAGAAAACAGTGATTTTTTTCCCCCTTTAGGCATTGGTTCTCAAGCTGACTTTCTGACTAACCCAAACCTACAACAAAGCAAGATCTTGTGGTGGTTAGGAAAAGCTACTAACTTGTATCCTTAAGCATAATTTACAAGTTTACAGAAATACCTCCACAGAACCCAGGCAGAAAATGCTTCTCAAAACTGACAAGAATATTTCCATAAGGTAAATCTTAAGAATCATATGGGTGGGACTCTATTCAAATTCATTATTTTTATTTATTTATATATTTGTTTGTTTATATGTTTATTTTACAATTTACTTCAACGCATTATCTTTTTTAAGAGGAAAAAAATAGCTTAACTACCTGTTCCTGAGACAGCAGTGTCTTGTTTTACAACACACATGAGTGATCTCAGAATAAAGGCTCTACTTTTATAGCTTCTTATCTTGGCAAGAAACACAAAAGGCCTGGACTTTAAAACTCTATACTTTGCCAAAGTGTATTTTTAAAATAACTTAAAAACTTACCTTGAGTGAAAATATTTTCTGTATCCTGGGATGTAATTGCTATTATTAAAGAAAAAAGAGTGAGATGATCAATAGAATATGAACTAAAATTCATTTCAACTTGATTTCTTAAAGTGGAATATTCAAACAACTGCAATCAGAACCAATAGTATTTTTTGAAATTCCTAGTCTTAGGCTCCATCCTGAACCAGTTAAAGCAACCTGAGTCATGTACCCCAGAAGTCTGTGTTACCATTTTGCCTCACAATTTATTATTGTGCACGTTGTTGGTACTCAAAATTTCTAACCAAACACGTGAAACATTTTCTTACTCCCAAGTCATTTTAGTTGGAAAAGGAAAGCCATATGCAAGTCATTGAGATGCAATGTGATAAATATTATGTGATGTTTATTGTACATTTGTTAGAAAACTCCCGTTTGTGTAAGTTGATATAGATATTAACTCTACTGATCCTCTTAAATGCTCCAAATTTCACAATGAGCAAAAGGGAGGAGGTTTGTACACACACCTTTTACCGACAAGATCATTTCAAATAAATTCCAATACCAAAAGAGTAACAATGTTACAGGAGTGTACCAGTGCAGTTAAAATGGAAGAAACATTTGAGATGGAGAAAGTAAAGTTTCCACTGTATGTTGAAAACTTAAAAGGAAAATTTCAGACAGACAGGAAGGCACAAGGCCATTCCAAATAGAAAGTGTAGTGCACTAACACATGCTATTGGTAGGGGCACTGTGGAAAGCCTGGGAAGGAAACCATGTAAAGGTTTCGTGAAGAAAGTCTGTGTAGACCCGTTCAAGGTCTGTGCCCCACAGTTTTCTCTGTAGGTCCAGAATTCATCTCACATTCAATTTCATCCAGAATTTGCTGCTTTTATTCTGTTTCCCTCCTTTAGCAAACGGAACCACCTCCACAGGCAGACAAAAGTGGTGTAAGATTTCCCCTCTGTTACCATTTTTACCTGGTCTCCAGGTTCTATGGCTTCTATCTCCTTATAACTAGCTCCATCCTCTTCCCTTTGGCTATGGAGTGCTTTCATCATTCCACATCAGTGCTGTGATAATAACCCCTGAGTACCTGGTTGCTTTTATAATTCATCTACCTAAGCTTTACAAGGATTTTTTTCCCCAAAAAAACATGTATGTCAAATTATATCCTTTCATATTTGAGCTTCGGAAGTGAGAAACCAATCTTCTTATTCCTTAAAAAATAAATCTAAATTTCTAATGACAGGTTTTCATGATGTTTAAAATCAATTAATTCAACATTTTTCTTAGGTAGAAATTCTCACAAAGATGCGTTTGCTTTATAAGTATTGGTGAACCAATTTATCCTTTCAGAAACAGAAAGTGAAGAGCTGACCATGTTTTATTCTTTGAAAAAGAGAAATGAGTTTGAATTCTGATTGCTCCTGACTGCCCATGCTGAGTGGGCAGAAAAGCTTAGGCAGAAAAGTTTTCAAGTCTCCATCTCCAATTAGCCAGCATAATACTGGTTGGAGGTATGGCTCAAGGGATAGAGCACTGCTCATGAGCAAGCAAGCTTACTGAGCATGACAGCATGAAGCCCTGAGTTCATACCCTGGAAGAACCACCAGTATGAGGGTGGGAGGGAGAGGGAGAGAGAGAGGAAGAGAGAGAATGAGAAAGAGAGAGAGTGGGAGAGAGGGAGAGAGAAAGACAGGGAGGAGAAAGGCCTGGACAATTACCCTTCTCTTTAATGAGGACAATTTGGGATATCATAGCAAGAATTGAATGGAGGTCAAAAATAAATAAATAAAGCACAAAAGGCACTCAAAGTTCTACCAAGAAAATGTGGAACTTTTTCTCAAAGAAATGTTTTAATGAGAGTGATGAGTATAAAGATAGCATCAAAAAGTCTACAATTACTTTTGCTTTTCTCTCTACCTTGTTCTGCTAAGCATTATGCTTATTGAAGATCTTTTGCAATTTTCTTTCTCTTTTCACATCCTACTTATCCTACAGAGTCAGTCTATTCATTCTCTTTCATGGAGAGATATGAAGATTATAATATAATATTTTTTCTCCTGGATTCCTGTAGCATTCACTGTACTTGATCATACATTCTCTCTCTTTCTCTCTCTATTCTCCTTTCCTTCTTCTTCCTTCCCTCCTTCTCTCTCCCACTCTCCTTCTCTTCCTCTTTCTTTTCTTCTTCCCCTTTTTCCCTCCTCCCTCCCTCCCTCCCTCTCTCCTCTCTCTCTCTCTCTCTCTCTCTCTCTCTCTCTCTCTCTCTCTCTCTCTCATGTTGGTAGCTGGTACTGGGGCTTGAATCCAGGGCCACATGCTCTCATGCACAGTTGGCTTGCTTGCTCATGATTGGTGCTCTACCACTTGAGCCACACCTTCTGACCAATGTTGTGCTGGCTAATTGGAGATGGAGTCTTGAAAACTTTTTGCCCAAGCTGAGATTCTCCATGTCTCAGCCTCATGAGTCATAGGCACCTGGCCATCATAAACTCTCTTGGCTGTCAATTCTGCTATCTTAATCATTATTTTGTGATTCAGGTATCTTTTGTTTAAACTAAATTATAAGACCCTGTATTGCCAGCTTGTCTAGCACAATGCTAAACAAGTAACAAGCATTTGAAAAGTACCTTTGGAAGAATTCTTTGGCATGTAGGAGCAGAGTTATTACTCCATTATTTGATAAACCTAAGGTTTATTAATAAAATCTGTGAGCATTGTCAGCCAGAACTCATTGAGGGATGTGGAGTTGGAATGTTCTCTTGAAGTTCTTTCCTGCTAAGCATCAACTTTTAGTTGCAGGGTGGGAAATGGGAGGCTGGGAAAGGAGAAGGCGACATTCAGAAAACCTAGGAAGAAAGCTTTGGGAACAAGAAAGCATTCAGATATTTGAACTAGTATTGCAATAGCACACATCTACTAGTTTAGTGCTGGAGTCATGAAACTCCTTCCAATTTTGAGTTTATTATGATGAAAGTGTGGCTTCTTCAACTAGCAGTAAATGGTAAAGTTGAAGAGTATCCTTTGTTAAGAAATTCATGCAACAATTAGCTACTGAACCTCAGTTATAAACTAGATACTATGTCATAGGACAGTAGGTGAATAAAGACATGGCTGTTCTTGTATTTAGGATGCTTATAGAGTAGGGTGAAGCCAGCACAACAATTATGCAAATTAATTTCATTTTCAATTGTGATGAATGTGATGAAGGAGAATGTAGTCTACATGATGGGCCATTAATTAAATTGCTCTTTGACATTGGGCATCTATCTGCCTTTCCTATGGAAGGTCCGCAGAATAAACATCTGATAATCGCATCTCTCATAAAGAGTGTTGGAGTGATGATCAAGAATGAATATTTTTAGCAAATAAAAATTTGTCATAGGAATGTTGGATTAGTCTGTAAATCTTAGAATGATGATTATCAAAAGGACAAAAACTTGACAAGTGATGAGGATATGAACAATATGAGAATGTAAGTTAACGCAGTCATGGTGGAAAATGTAGAGTTATCTGTCCTACCGTGGTCCAGCTCTCCTACTACCAGGTACATGTCCAAAGGAAAAGAAACTAGTTGTAACAGAGATGTCATCATCTTATGTTATTACAGCACTTTCTCAACACCCAAGATAAGGAACAAGCTTGGCATTTACAGAGAAAGGAGAGGAGAAAGTAGAGTATATAAATACAACAAACTTATTCATCCATGAGAAAGAACACAATTCTATTTGCAGCAACATAGAACTAGAGAACATTATGTTAAGTGAATATATGTCAGCCACACAAAGACAAATACTCTATGCTTTGTCTTACATGTGGAAGATATAAAAAAGAGAATAGAACATTTTTTTTTAAAATAAACAGGATTTGGGAAGGTGTGGGAAAATGAAGGATAAAGAGAAGATGGGAAATGACTTGTCATCCAGCAAAGACAGAGTAACCATAGGTGGTGATAACAAAATGAGTATCTTAAGAGAGCTAGTCCAAGAACTTTAAATATCTCCAGCACAAAGAAATATACGTCTGAGGTGAGAGGCTTGCCAGTTTCCCAGCTCTCATCACTGACTGTATATACATACATTGAAATCCCATTGTATCCTATATATAGGTGTTGTTTCTATAGGTGAATTGAAAAAAGAAAACACCCCACATCTTTATACTTAAAAGCATTTTCACACTTTCCTTATGTATTTGTGAATAACCCAAACAAGAATTATTATTAACATTTTATAAGGGGAGAAAACTAAAACCAAAAATCTTAAAGCTGAACATCTTAGGTTCATTGCCTTAAAGGACCAACCTGGTTTATATACTGAGTTTGCATCTCTCTTTGTGTTTGCACTTACAGCACTCAAAGCAAAATAGTATACACACACACACACACACACATACACACACACACACACATACACCACCCTCCCAAAAAAACACAAAAACAAAAAAAATCCCACAAAAACATTTGCTTTGTTAAAATGCAAAAAATTCAATATATAATCTGAAAATTAAGAAAAGTAAGGGAATGGGTAGATTGGGAGGGGTGAGTGAGAATGTTGAAAGGGGTAACATTGATCGAGATGTACTTTATTCATAAACTGCTTTTGAAAATGGTAACTCCTTTGTACAATTAAAGATAATAAAAATATTCAAAAAGTAAGTTAAAATACTTTGCCCTCACATGGACACTAGGAAACACTTCCTACTTTGAAATTATTCAATTTATGAAAAAAAGATGCCTAAAAATATACAATAATATTTGGAGTTAAAAAAAATCTTAAAATACTTGCTTGTTATCCCAGGTGAGGAGTGAATTTCCAGGCCTCCTGAGTTATTCAGCATTTTCTGTAAGACAGCTTGAACTCTGCCTTTCATTGAGTTTCCATCGTTACGTTTGCTGAACCGGAACTTCATGACAACATCTGCGGTCACCCCACTGCCAGACTGTCTGTCAATTGTATAGATGTAGGCAATGGATAATTATGATGGCTTTCTATTCTGTAAGTTTTCTTCTTGATTCAATCATTTCTCAAAAAAAAAGAATTCCCTAGAAGACTTGACCTGCAGAACAGATCTACCTAATGATGTATGCATTTGCAATGTTAGATCGCAGTGCTATATCCCAAATTTGATTTCAGTGTACATGGTACTCCACCCATCATACAGCACAGCTGACTTTGACGCCCAAGCATTTTAACCCTCTGATTTTTTTGAGGTAACCAAGTTTATTAATCTCTCTGCTCTTGGGTGTTCTCACATGTAAAATGAATTGTTATGAGGATTGTACGAATTAATATATAGATGACTTGCGGGAAGAGTGCATAGCATACAATAAGAGTTACAATAAATTCTAGCTAGTATTAGACTTTGGCAATCTGACAAAAATCCTCATCTCTAAACAAACTTATAATGTGATGAGGTTTCAAATAATATGAGTAAGAAATGAGGTAAATTTCTAGTATATGGATCCATTTATCTAGCTAAAGCAGCCAATTCTAACAAAAATAAACTTGGGGAGAAAGGATTCTTAAAAGAAATTTTATAATTGATAATGACTGATGCTATAAATAAGACTTGCACACAAGAAAAATATAATCACAACTCAGATTAGAACCTGTAGTAAGTACATAGTTCCCATAAATAAATAAGGAAAAGACTAGTATACAATAGAAAAACAGAAAAGATGAGAACATGTGATGAGGGATTCAGAACAAATGGTAAAAATTACAAATAAATGCTCAAGTGGTATTATTTTATACCAGTTAATACCAATTGACCCATCAAAGAGGCACTGTGATATTAGAAGAAACTCAGGCACAAAATGTCAATAACCTGTCCATAGTGACACAGATTTTGAGAATCAACACTTGAAAATGGGCTTTCAGCAGTTTGACTCCAAAGAGTATATGCTTTATCCTTTATTCTAAACCACCTATTGGCAGGTTTAGAATTAAGCCACAGCTTACATATTAAATATTAGTGAGGATACTGAGCAATAATGTCTTTACAATTGAAATGTAAATTTTCATAACTACTTTGGAAAGTACTTTATCAATATCTAGTAAAGTTGAAGATTCTCAAATCTCAAGATCTAGGAATTGTACTTCTAGGTATATCTTCATGATAAATCCTTTCGTGTGTGCACATGTAAGGAATGTTGGACAATTAAGTAGAGTATTGAAAATAAAATGCTGAATAGATGAACAGTATGTTTGTTCAATAATAAATGAATATTCAGTCTTTAAAATGAATCACCTAGATTTAACTACATTAACATGGATTCACATAGAGAAATGTTAAGCAAACTTACTGGAAGATGCTCTGTGTGGAGTTTGTTTAAAAAGTATTTCTGTCTGCTATGTAGAAGGTGAAATGGGGTGAGACTGGAGTTAAGGAAATTTGTTAGGAGGCTGTTATGGCCCAGAAGACAGAAGGACGATGGTATTATGGTACAATAAGAAAGTTACAGAGCTGGGAAATATTAAGGAATATATTAAAGTTGAGCTATCTCAAAGGCATCCATACGATGATTATCAAGTAGATGGGTCTGTAGAGTCACATCTAGAGATCGAAGAGGACTGTCTGACTGGCCCCAAATGGAGTAAAACTCCTGAGAAGAGAAAATGTGAACTGAGAGAATATGTATGGCTCACAACATACATTGATATTCAATATTTGAGGAATGTACAGAGAACACAAGGAAATTGAGAAAGTAGCCAGAGAAGAGGAACACGTATAGTGTCCTAAAAACATGAGACCACTCCCTTCCTCTTTCCCTCCTTCCCTCCCTCCCTCCCTTCTTCCTTCCTTCCTTCCTGCCTTCCTTCCTGCCTTCCTTCCTGCCTTCCTGCCTTCCTGCCTTCCTGCTTTCCTGCCTTCCTGCTTTCCTGCCGTTCTGCCTTCCTCTTTCTTCTGCAAGAAGGGCTCAATATGTAGCTCTTTCTGATCTTGAACATGCTCTTTAGCTCAGGCTGGCCTCAAACTAGCAGGTCTCTTGTCATTGCCTCTTAAGTGCTAGATTAGAGGTGTATGCTGTCATAGCCAACAAGAAATATTTCCAAGATAGACCAAATGTGCCAAATATTATTGAGAAATCTAAGAGGAGGACTAATATGGCTTCTTTGGGTTTGTGTTTTGGATGCTGTTGTTGAACTAGATGAAAGCAGTTTGTTTTTTGTAGTGTGATCAAATGCCAGATTGTCATGGATGGAGGGTAAATATGAAGTGAAGTAAAGGAAAGAAGATGCAAGTAGCTCATTTGGTCTTAAAGTTTTGGAAATTTAAACCACTGAGCTTTAGGAGCTAGCACAAAGCCAATCACAGTAAAGTACTAAATGGAATATGAATTGAACTGATATGTTTTAGAAAACAATCTTCCCATAGATCCTTCCTATTTGTATAAATTTTCACCAGAATTTTGACAAGAGCTACTTTTTTTGTGTGTGTAGTGTTAATACTTGAGAAAGAATATGATCCCACTCTTGGCCAAAAAACTTTTTCATAATTTAATTGAAAGATCAAACAATGTGGGAAATTTAGGACATTTGTGGGAGGTTCAATCTAGGTGAGTATTTTAGTTGAGAAGGATTATTTCATCAAATCAAATGAACAAGTATATATTTAATTAACATAGGAATGGCAAAGTCTTGTAAGGAATTCATTCTACTATTCCTTCCTATTATTAGTCCATCACTAGTGTCAAGGATTTAGCCATATGTCCTTTTATTATAGTATTCAAGGCAGATGAAATCTGAAAGCTGCTTTTGAGTTGGCCCTGGTGTCCTGATTTGGATGAAACCACCCAAGGCCAGAGCATTGTGCAACTCCACTAGGCAGTGTTACAAAGACAGCATTGTGGGTGACACCCACTGGTTTTATATAATAGAATGGTTCTATTACCAAGCGATCACTTCAATTTTCCCTGCACTGCTTTTTCTCCCATTAAGAACTCAAATAATATATGATTATTTACATTAGTAGCCAAATAAATCATGCATGATTTCTTTTATTATAAAGGTGATGTACAAAGGGCTTACAGTTACATAAATAAAGTAATGAGTACATTTCCTTTTGAACAGTGTCACCTCTTCCCTCATTTTGTACATGGTATTTTTGACATTATTTTTGGTTGTTATTTGTTTTTGTGCTGGTCCTGGGGCTTGAACTCAGAATCTGGGTGCTGTCCTTGAGCATTTTTGCTTATGGCTAGTGCTCTACCACTTGAGCTACAGCTCCACGTCCAGTTGTGTGTGTGTGTGTGTGTTGTATTTAATTGGAGATAAGCATCTCATGGACTTTCCTGCCCAACCTGGCTTCAAACTGCTTTCCTCAGATCTCAACCTCTGGATTAGTTTGAGTTACAGACATAAATCATCAGTGTCCAGCTTAACATTTTTTTGGGGGGTCCGGTCGTGGGGCCTGAACTCTGTGCCTGGACACTGTCCCTTAGCTCTTCAGCTCAAGGCTAGCGCTCTACCACTTGAGCCACAGCGCCACTTCCAGCTTTTTTCTTTTTTGCTTATGTGGTGCTGAGGAATCAAACCCAGGGCCTCATGCATACAAGGCAAGCACTCTACCATTGAGCTACCTTCCCAGCCCCTTAACATTTTTTTAAGGTGCCCTATTTTCATGTTATTTTATACTATTATATTATATTGCATGAGCATGTCACTTATTATCATTGCTGTGAACCAAAGTCAAGCGTGTCAAATTGCATCTATGCTTACATAGTTTTTAGTATAGTTTCACTCACCTCAGTTTGACAACATGGGCTCTGATGAACTGCTTTCTTAAATTTGATTCTTTGAATACATTAGTAATCTATGGAAAGAAGGAAGAGAAGAAACCTCTGTAATTACAGTTGCTCCTTTCTTTTCTCCCAGCTTTCTGCAACCTGAGGCTTCTCTTAATGAAGAATAGAGAATAAGTTTTCAGCTGAGTTCAGCTCAGATTCATCACAAAGCATGGGATTGATTCAAGCAGGTTATATAACCCCTTGAATTGCTGCCTATTTCTTCATCTATTAAGTGGAGATGATCCTGGACAAGATGAGTCTTTACTGGAAGCCATTCTAACTGCATCAGGTATTTTACTATGTAAGAGTTTATGTGATATCACATAATGATAGTTACTAAGATGGTTGGGGACAAGAGTCACGTCACTACAAGAAAAGTCCACTCATACAATCCAATAAATGTGATTTCCACTAGATGCTTTAAAAATAAGTAGAACGTTGGAAATGAACTTTACAACTTGATGGGAGGAACGAGGGGAGTGGTAAGCAGGAGAAAATGAGGGAGGGGATAACTGTTTAAAAAGAAATGTACTCATTACTTTATGTAACTGTAACCCCCCTGTTCATCACCTTTAAAATAAATAATAATTTTCAGAAAATAAAATAAAGATGAGTGGAATCAGATGGTCATGAAATGGGAAACTGGGGAACTAAATAGTGTGCTGAATATTATACTTAGATAGCACTTTAAGTTCGCTCTTCTTGAGATTGTCAAGGTTATCAATATTTAGTAAATGACAATTTATCAGTAGCCATTCCAATTTGTTGGCCAATATCAGATCAGTTGCTTTGAAAAGTATTTTTTTTTTCTGGAGAAACCTTAAATAGAAATAAGACTAATAAAACCAAGTCAGATGCTGGTGGCTCATGTCTAATCTGAAGCTAATATAGAAGCTGAAATTGGTTTTTTGTTTTGTTTTTTAAGTTTTTATTTTGTCAGTCGTGGGGCTGTCCCGGTGCTCTTCAGCTCAAGGCGAGCACTCTACTGCTTGAGCCACAGTGCCACTTCTAATTTTCTAGCTGTTTATTAGAGATAAGAATCTCACGGACTTTCCTGCCTGGGCTGCCTGGGCTGAACCATGATCCTCAAATCTCAGCTTCCTGACTAGCTAGGAATACAGGCGTAAGCCACCGGCGCCCAGCTTTGAAATTGTTTTTGAAGCTATTATGAATGGGATTTTTAAAAAAATATATATCTTTCTCTGCCTCTTTGTTTCTGGCACATAGAAAAGTTATTGAGGGTCAATATTATAGAAGTACATTTTATATATATATATATGTATATATATATATATATATGTATAAAGACAGCATAATAAAACCTAACAAACTTGCTAAAAAGGAAGGGGAAAATGAAAGAATGGCAATATAGATGGGGTAAATTTGATCATAATACATTGAATGCTTGAATTTCGCAATGTATCCATCCGGTTCTGGGATTTCTTTTGTTTGTTTGGAGACTATATAACTAATTTAATGCCATTGCTTATTATAGGCCAGTGTAAGTGGTTGACACGAATTTATCCATAAATATTTTCTATTTCTTCTAGAGTTTCCAGTATATTACAATATACTGGAAATTAATCTGTAATGAGCTTCTTCGTTGGTATTTGTTATCATCTATAATTTTTAAAATTTTGATCTTTTCCTTCCTTTTGATTAATGTGGCTAAGGCATTGTCAGTTTTATCTTTTCAAAGAACTAACATTTTGTTTAATTGATTCTTTGTAGATTCATAGGAATCTATGAATGTTTGGTGGTCTTTACAGCCTCATAACATCCAAAAATAGATTTAGTTTTCTTCTTTTTCCATTTTAGTTATTCCTCCATCTTGTTGTTGTTGCTAAGAACTCAAGCACTATAGTGAATAAGAACAAAAAGAGTGGACACTCTTGTTTGGTACCTGACTTTATTTTCATATTTGTCATTATTTCCTTTCCCGTATTTATTACTTATTATTTTATTATTATTTTTTGGGGGGGTCTGGTCGTGGGGCCTGAACTCTGGGCCTGGGCACTGTCCCTCAGCTTTTCAGCTCAAGGCTAGCACTTTACCACTTGAGCCACAGTGCCACTTCTGGCTTTTTTCTTTTTTGCTTATGTGATGCTGAGGAATCGAACCCAGGGCCTCATGCATGCAAGGCAAGCGTTCTACCACTGAGCCACCTTCCCAGCCCCTCATCTGTCTTTTTTTAATTGCAGGTACTCTTAGATATAAGCTTGCTTCTTAGTACTACTTGTGTTATATTCCCAAAGTTATGATATGTTATATTTCCATTTTCAATTAATTCTAGAAATTTTTTATCTACTCCTGTTACTCCCTTGATGACCCACAGATCATTCAATCAATTACAATCAAACAGTTATTTAATCAATGACAGTTTTTAAGAAAGACTTCTCAAGCTGGGCACCAGTGGTTCACACTTGTAATCCTAACTAATCAGGAGGCTAAGATTTGAGGGTGGGGTTCAAAGCCAGACATAAGTCCATGAGACTCTTATCTCCAATTAACCACCCAAAAAGTTGAAAGTGGAGCTGTGATAGAGCACTAGACTTGAGCACAAAAGTTCAGAGACAGTGTTCAGGCCCTAAATTGAAGTCACCAGAAAACTAACAAAAAAAAAAATCAAGAAAAGAGAAAGACATCCCATTTTGAAGTCCTAAATAAATAAAATGTATATTTATTCATAGCACTGCTAACCATTTTCACTCATAGCATAAGACAATGTGAATAAGAAAAACTGACTCAGAAAAAGTACAGAGAAGCCAGGCACCAGTGGCTCAAGTCTTTAATCCTAGGTACTCAAGTGGCTGAGATTTGGAAGGTCATCATTGGAGAACAGCTTGGAGAGAGAAGGAAAGAGAAGTCCATTGCGCTCTATTTCCAGACTAATCACAAAAAAACCCAACAGGCTTGAAGTGTAGTTCAAGTGGTAGAGAATCAGCATAGAAAGTCCCAAGGGGGGAGTATATTTGTGGAGGTGGGAGGGAATGGATGGTAGGGGAAAAACAAAGGCGGAGGCAACAATCCTTGATAAGAAATGTACTCATTACCTTGCTCATGTAACTGTAACCCCTCTGTACAGTATTTTCACAATAAAAACTTACTAAAAATAGAAAGAAAAAGAAAGAAAGAACGAAAGAAAAGAAAAGAAAGTTCCAAGGCTTTGAGTTCAAATGAGAGTATACTAAATTAAATAAATAAAAAGACAAAGAAAAGGTACAGAGACTAATGTAGCAGTGATACTCACTAGACACTGTGTTAAAAAGAACTGTACAACCTGTGAGGGAGAGGTTCTTGAGGGAAAAAACTGGGAGAAAACAAGAGATGAGATAATACTGTTCAAAAAGAAATGTACTCATTACTTGACTTTTGTAACTGTAACCCCCTCTTCCTTGCCTTTACAATAGCAAAAGTACAGAGAAAAACATTTTTCTACCCCAAAAGGAGGAAGTAAACCAATGGATAATAAAAGGCAAAAAAAAAAAATCACACTTGGGATATGACTAATTAAATAGAATTCTAAACATTCACACAGTGAGACCAAAGGAGGATATTCTTAGGAGAGGATCACAAGGGCTCGATAGCTATGTGCAAATGGTCATATAAAAATGATGCATATCAAAATGAACCCCAATAAGTAGAAATAAGAGTTTTTCATCTTACTTTTGCATTTTTCTATTTCTTTTCCCTTTTCTCACTGTATTTGATTTCTGTACCTTAAGTTTATCTGATTTGAGGAAGAGAAGGGGAAACATAGAAATTGTGGGACAAAGGGTGAAGTAATTCAGCAGTGATACTAGACACTGTGTTGGAAAAGAACTTTACTACTGGGGGGAGGGAGGGAGGAAAAACTGAGAAAAAATGAGGGAAGGTATGATACTGTTCAAAAGAAATGTACACAGTACTGATTTATGTTATTGTATCCCCTCTGTACATCATCATTATAATAAAAAAGGAAGAAAGCATGCAGAACTTCTACCAATTGAAAATATATCTTATACTTCTAGGTATATAACTGTATTAATGTTATAAGGGAAAAATAAAGGCAAATATTAATGTACCATGGACTCAATTTGTTCACTCAAAGTTCTATATTCCTGTGTAGCTGGTGAACTTAACTCATCAGTATATTCAACATTTAATATTTGAAAGCTGCTACGGTAAAAACATGCTTTTCGATCTGAAAAAAAGGAAAAAGTATGATTAGTGTTCATTACTAAGTACTAAGTAGTTTAATCTTTCATATACTCAGGATTGTGGAAAGTTATACTGCACAATTAAATTTGCTTTCCTGAAAAGAAAAGAAAATTTCATATTCAACAGAAATGGAAGTATAATAAAACTCTCTCTCTGTCTTGTTTTAGTTTTCTTTTGGCAAGATATCACTGTTTATCTCAGGCTGTACTTTCAACTCCCCTAGTTAGTCTGTTGAGTGCTGTGATTGCAAATATTCACTACCCCACTGGTTTTTCTTTTAAGTTTTTAAAATTATTGCTAAAGTGAGGCCTGTTAAGAATGCGCAAAAAATCTTAGTAATACTATTATTTGAAACATTAAAACTGTCCAGAAGTGCTCTAATTTTATTCACATTACATCTTAGGGATATTTGTGGTTCATTGGTTCAATAGTACTTATTAATAGCTGTAATATATTAGTCATTTATCACTAAGGAAGAATTTAAGTCATAGTTAAAATTATTCTAAATAGTATTCTAAATAGTATTCTTTCAGATTAGATATGTTGTCAGTTTACTAAACTAGAAAATAACTGACAACATATTTAATCTGGTTGTACATCATGAATTATTTTTCATCATGACAAATGAGATAGAAATCCCTAAAATGCATTTGTGCACAACTAAGAAGCATCATGAATATGGACATAAACTAGTAGATCGTGCTTTCATTTGATCACTTACTTGCATAAAAATATCCTAATTAAAGAAAGATGTTGGTAACCCTAAGGGGAAGGTGATCCTCTTTATTAGGGCAGGGGCAAACAAGTAATTTTTGGTCCACAAATGATCAATAGACTACAATTGGAGCAAGATTTACTTGGCTTCTATCTTGTATTTAACTGGAAGGTTACAATGTGATTCAGAATAAATCCATTAATCTCAAACTCTATGTCCTCATTTTTTCTACTCTGTAATTTATCTTAGGGATAGTTACTTTAAAGTAATTAGAACACAAACTGTTATCAAAAGTAAAATTTAGACAAATTCTCAACGTTTGATCAGTTTAGATGTTGCTTCCTTATTACTATTTTTCTCTTATCTTGGTATTTTTATTGTACCATTGGAAATTTTCAAACTTTATATGGTTAGTCATTTTTTCCTGTTTACAATAAGACATTCTAAAAATTCTGTTCTTTCTCTTTTTTCTCTTCACATTCTCATATCACAGGGCACACATATACATAGGATCTAAATAATTATATCCAAAATAAAAATAATAAGATAAGATAAATAATAATACAAATGTTATCTTGTTTCCTTGTTATAAGCTCTTTATATTGTTTTCTCCTGTTTATGCTTTCCAATTTTATTGGCAATATGAAAAATTAAAAAGAGAAACAAATAAAGCTCATAATCTTTTTCAAAATTTGCAGCATTACCCATTTTTACTTCTCAAGTGTAAATTTATCTATTGATTATTCTCACCACTGTAAAAATATATGTGTTTTAAGTATTATGAGCATGAATTAACAAGTAATTAGGTATTTCCTAATTCTGAGTTATGAAACATGCTTGTTTTTGAAATATTTTACTCTTGATTTTGTCAGTTTATTGGATGAAGAAGTAATCAAGAATATTAACAAAAACAATAGTAACCAAATATTAGCAGCCAAGGAGCAGGAAATAAAAAGACTTTTCATTTGTCTGCAATAGTCTTTGCCAGGATAACCATATTTGACTTATTAGAAAGTATGTTTTTTATATCAAAAGAGGGATAATATACCAATAGAAAGGATAAATAGATATGAACATATATTCAAAGAAAAGCTCTAATATGACCTCCTCATGTTCAGAAATAAATGTACTAACACAACGGAGAAGATCAAAATTTTAATCTGAAATTATGATTTTTTAATCTGAAAAGTGATAATCACTGATACTTACCAAAAGCTAGAAAATGAATAAGTAAACCTATGGCTACTGCCACAATCGCCACCCCTGCAATCACGACAAAAGCGACAACAAATGGATTCAGAAATCTTGAATTTGACACCACCCGTGCTGGCCTGAGAAAAGGAAGAAAAGTAAAATTGACTCGCTTCACTAGAAAAATCCACCATTTTACCATTCCTGGTCATCTATCTGTCTTTGTGGTTGCTCAGCTTGCACATAGATATAAGTATAAAAAAGTAGTCCTGGAAATGAGCCTGAACTGAACCAGCCCCTCTACCTCACAAGACTCTTTTGAGGATTAAGTTGGGCATCATAAAGCAAATAGTTCTGGGTTTGGTTTTTGTTTGGGGAAGTACTGGGGATCAGTGTCAGAGCTCTGAGCTTGCAAGGTGGATACTCTGCCCCTTGAGCCATACATACCATACCTCCAGTCTTTTTCACTTCAGTTTGTTTTTGAGAGGGCCTCTCACTTTTGCCCTGCCTCCCAAGTATCTAGGATAACAGTTTAACACCTTACCCCAAAGTAAATATTTCTAGTTATATAGGATATTCTCTAAGCTGCAAATACCTCAAATCCAAAAATGCTTTTCATGTTGGTGTCTGTAGCACCATAGTACCTGGTATGTGTAGGTATTCTGCAATTATTTATAATATTTATAAGTATCTGTCTTATGTGTTAACACTTGAGCATTTAAAGCCTTATCAGAGTTTAGAAGCAGCTACATTTAGCCGGATAATCGGACTTTCATTCTTTCTGTTGCCCACATTTTGATGTGAGATGGGAATGTTTTAAAGTCAGTAGTCTGCAGAGTTGCCTGGTGTGAGATCTTTCATATTCGAACTCTACGCATCGTACAGACCTATAAAAGGCACTTTTGGGGAGACATTTCACAAAATTTCAACTGGACATTACATAAAAGGGTTGCTTCATAAAATATATTATACATTAAAAATAGTGAGCCTGCTCAAACATGCTCATAAAATAGAAAGTAGAATAAAAAAGAAATGAGTTAAGCAATTTTAACCATCATATCTTTATATTACATTAGCTTTATTTCATTATTTTTTTATTGACTCTACTAGTAAAAATTAACTTTCTCTGATGGACCAGAGTCCAACACACAGAAGAAAATTGGCACTTTGCTAATTGCTAATTTTGGAGTCTCCATTAGCTCTTTTGTGGTTGTTGTGCCAATTTTAGGCATCATAAAAAATGCCAAGTGTCTGATTTATCAGTTCAGTAAACATTAGTGCCTACTGAGTTGTTGAGAGACACTGTTGAAGGTAAGGGAAAACCCAAAGGGATAAATATGTCTGCAATGGATCAACCTTCTCAAGAGTAACGAAGGGTTAGTTATGTTTCTAGAGATAAAATCTGATGTGGAGTGAGACATTCTGAAGTCCTGAAAAATACAGACTCAGATGGGAGGTGAAAAATCTCCCCAGAAATACAAAATAAAAGGGAGAGTCAGCATAAGCTTTTTTGGGATGTGCTCCCACTAGGAATGACTCTTCAGCCAACTATGTTTCCAGTTCACTGAAAATATCTTAAACTCAATGGCTCAAAATCACCAAGAGATGTATGACTCAGTAAACAAAGGGTGTGGAACCTAAATTACCTTAATCTCATAAGCTATAATTACATAAGAATCTGTTGTTCCACCCCATAAAAACATCTGAGGAAATATCTGCTGTTCTTGTTGACATGCAATTTACATTAAACCTTTCCTAGTTCCTTATGATAAAGCTTATGTTAACACAAAACCAAATTCTGCACACTATGTACTTTGTAAACTATGACAGAAAATGTGTCTGGAAACAGTGAATGTTGACTTCATAACCCAGTTGAAAACTGCACAAGAAAGCATTTTGTTTTTAATGCAGAATCTTGATCAGTGGGATTTTCTGCATGCTTGTATTAAAATAACAAAAGCAATTTGTTTGCCCCAACCTATTGCTCCCCTTTTTAAAAACATTGCATGCACGGTGAGTTTGTCTCTAACTTTTATTTTGAAGGATTCTGTGTCAGGCATTATACACGTATATTGTGTATATTGTCAATCTTCATAAAGTAATGGTCCTTTTCTTTTTGGGTGCAGTCGTGGGCCTGAACTCTGGGCCTGGGAGCTGTCCCTCAGCTCTTCAGCTCAAGGCTAGTGCTCTACCACTTGAGCTACAGTGCCACTTCCGGCTTTTTTCCTTTTTGCTTATGTGGTGCTGAGGAATCGAACCCAGGGTCTCATGCATGCAAGGCAAGCGCTCTACCACTGAACCACCTTCCCAGCCCCAGTAATGGTCTTTGTTAATATTAAAGTCTTTGTTATTATTTTGCTTTGAATATGAGAAAATGAGGCGAAGAGACTAAGTAATATATGATTATCAAGTGTGACAGGGCTGACCTCACCAAACAGGTGTGAATCAAGGAATATGAAGTCTTTGTCATATCCTTCCTCAAATGATGCCATTAGCTATGAGAACAGGAAGTTTTAGGGGTCATGTCTTTATCTCATTTCACTTAGGAGATGGAATGGGTGTGGAAACCTACTGAATGCTTCTTAAATGTCTCGGCTTTTGTTTTACACATGTTAAGACTCCAATAACATGAACAGTGGCTTTATTTTAATTTGAAAGTATACTTTAATATCTATATAGACACGTTTGACTTCTGTGATTGATACAGAGTGACACATAATTTTCAACTGATTAATGGCAACAAATCCCATTATCTATAAAATGTGAAGAATCAGTGGCAGGGTAATTATACATTTAGATTCACATAGAATCTGTATTCAGGACTTTTAGAGCATCTTGGTAAGTAAGATTTCAGGTATGCTATTGTAAAGATTTAGTCACAGTCCTCTTTTGCTGTGTATTCTTCAACGATCCTATTCTTTGCTATGGTTTTAGCAAGCACTAAGTGCAGGGTTCTGGGAAAGGAGACTGCCACACGGTTCAGGCAGAAAAGAGTTTATTGGGGGGAGAGCAAACTGCTAGCCAGCACAAGATGGAGTCATGCAGAGAGAGAAGAGAAAAAAAGAGGGAAGAAGATGAGCCAGGTCTTTTGGTTACGCAGGATTATAAGGGAAAGGCAGGAAGGAGGTGTAACCACAACAGATTCAGAAGTGATCTCAGAGCCTGAGGAACCTCTCACTGTCCCCAGGAGGCCTGACCTAGGTAGTTCAGGAAGTCACCTCAGCAGACCAGAAAGTGACCTCAGAGTCTGGAGTCCTTTGCTGACTCACAGTCAGGTGATTAATGGTTTCAGGTAAGGCTACATGCTATCTTTCATGAAGAGGAAGCAGGGGAGGGCTATTCTCCTGGGCAGACCTAATACTAACTAGAATAATGTGTGTGTGTGTGTGTGTGTGTGTGTGTGTGTGTGTGTGTGTGTGTGTGTGTGTGTGTGTAGACTTGGACTTGAATGAAGGGCCTGGACACTGTACCTGAACTCTTGTGCTCCAACCTAGCACTCTACAACTTGAGCCACAGGTGTACTTCCAGCCTTTTTTTTTGAGGGGGGGTGGAGAAGTGGTTAATTGGAGATAAGGGTCTCATGGACTTTCAGATCTGAGCAGGCTTTGAAGTACCATCCTTAGATCTCAGCTTCCTGAATAGATAGGACTATAGGTATAATCCTCATAAACAGCACACTTACTAAAATACAGATATTTCTTTTTTTTTTTTTTTTTTTTTTGGGTCCGGTCATGGGGCCTGAACTCTGGGCCTGGGCGCTGTCCCTCAGCTCTTCAGCTCAAAGCTAGTGCTCTACCACTGGAGCCACTGCACCACTTCCGGCCTTTTTCTTTTTGCTTATGTGGTGCTGAGGAATCAAACCCAGGGCCTCAGGCATGCAAGGCAAGCGCGTTACCACTGAGCCACCTTCCCAGCCCCAAATACAGATATTTGTTTGAGGTCCACTATATCATTTTTAATTATTCACTGAATATGTTATTGACGCTATATAACTATTATAAATGAATAGTTCAAAAGAGAACTGGGTGTCTTTTGACCGCAGCCTTCCCCCAACGCGCTAATGCTGTCACTGGTACTCTATTACTGGCACAGGACCCATGACAGAATTCACACCAGATTATGGGAACATTGATAGATTACTCTCCAAAGGGGATTTTAAGATAACTTAAAATAATTCAGAGAGTTTTTTAAAATTAAAGTTCACATGGTATGTTCTTACTTCAAATGCTGACAAGTAGAAGTCATCTCTAGCCATCTATTAAACACTTAGCATATACCTGGCACCATGCTAAGTTTTTCTACTTCCTTTTCACTTCCTTTCTCACTTCCTTTAATCCTCATAAAAACCCTGGTTTACAGATGAGAACAGGGAGGCTTAGCAATTAAGTTACTCAGCTAGAGACAGAACTTTCCTATGTCAACAAGTTCACATTGCAAATGCATATATCAGGTGGGATGAGATTTTCTTCTAATTTCATGTTATTAATTCATATCACATTACTACCTTATGGCTGACATTGGAAAAGGGAAAATTAGAAAAATGATAGCGCTTGTATTTCAAGATATACAAATGAACATATTTAAGTATATGTATATTAACATCATATATTCGAATTATGAAGTATATAAAAATGTTTCCTAATTTAATCTAGTTTATTCTATTTTTGTCAGTGTTGTTAACTCTATGAAGACTGTTACCACTAAGCAGGCTGTAGAGATTATACAGTGCTAAGATTTATATTTTAGTTTTCTTGACCATCTATCTCACTCGATAGTCCATGTAGATACAGAAAGAAGTTGGGCATGTGGTAAGGGAATTGAGCTAGCTTATATCAAACTTTTGTGAAAACCTTTAAAGAGGCAACTCTTTGAGCCGGGCACCAGTGGCTCACACCTGGAATCCTAGCTACTCAGGAGACTGAGATCTGAGAATCTCTGTTCAAAGCCCGCCCACAGCCTGGGCAGGAAAGTCCAGGAGACTCTTATTTCTAATAAACTACTCAGAAAAAGTCGGAGGTGGCAAAAATCAGAAGTGACACTGTGGCTTAAGTGGTAGAGCTCTAGACTTGAGCCAAAGAAGCTCAAGGATAGTGCCCAGGCTGAGTTCAAGCCCCAGGACTGGAAAAACAAAAGGTCAGAGACCTTAAAAATGGTGTCACTTGGGACCTCTGTAGCTTGGCAGGAAGCATGACTCCATCTCAGTTCCCAGTGTTCCCTTGAGCCACACATTTATTATTATTATTACTGCACAAACTGTGAGACTGTAGATAGCAAGGCTGAAATGATTTTGAAGTTTTGGAATGTGCTGCTTGTATGGAAAGCCAACATAGGGTTACTATCTGATAAAGTTTGTGAAGTTATGTGAAGAATTGACTAGTTATGTGTGTGTGTGTGTGTGTGTGTGTGTGTGTGTGTGTGTGTGTATGCGCGCGCGCGCGCGTGTGGATGTGTGAGGTGTACTAGTTAAGATAAGGAGAGTTTATAATGTTTCATGAAAACCTGTTGCCAGTGAGCCTGAGTGTAAGCCCAATTGCTCTATAGGCTGGCTTTATCCTTTCTGGAACTTAAGCTTATAGTGTGGCCATGGTAGAACAAATGCCTGTGTATCATTTGGAGATGGATAAGTTCTTTGCCTATTGATACTTCATTGATATTAGCTAATTCGTTCTAATTATGAATTCCACTAACATACTTCTCCTGTTTATTATTGTTATCATTAAAAGATGTTTCAAGATGCTTTATAATAATTACTCCTTGACTTAAAAATATTTTTACTGGATTCGTCTACTTAAGAGATACACATGAGGTTATATTAAACAATTACTAGAGAAGAAAAGGACTCTAGGTTATTGTGATTCATAACGCAGGGAAAATGAAATTTACTGTGGCTTATACGGAGAAGAGAAAGAAATAGAAAATTTGGTCTGGGAAAGAAGAAATAAAACTCTCCCTCTTTGCAAATGACATGATCTTGTATTTAAAGAATCCCATAGACTCCACTCCCAAATTACTCAAGCTGATTCAAAACTTTGGCAAAGTAGCTGGGTATAAAATTAACCCCCCAAAATCAATGGCTTTTCTGTATGCCAACAATGAGAAAAGTGTGGCTGAAATTAGGAAAGCAACTCCATTTGTAATAGCCCCACAAAAAATAAAATACCTAGGAATTAACTTTACCAAAGAAGTGAAGGACCTCTATGATGAAAACTTTAAAAGCTTGAAAAAGGAAATTAAAACAGAACTTAGAAAATGGCAAAACCTCCCATGCTCCTGGATTGGAAAGATTGACACCGTGAAAATAGCAATACTTCCCAAGGCTATCTACAAATTCAACGCGATACCTATCAAAATTCCAACCTCATTCTTCAAGGAAATAGAAGAGGCAATCCAAAAATTCATATGGAACAATAAAAGACCCCGAATAGCAAAAACGCTCCTCAACGGAAAGAACACTGCTGGAGGAATATCAATACCAAATTTCAAACTCTACTATAAAGCCATAGTAATCAAAACAGCTTGGTATTGGCATAAGAACAGACCTCAGGACCAATGGAATAGAATTGAAAACCCAGAAATGAACCTACAGACCTATAGCCATCTAATCTTCGATAAGGGAGCTAAAACAATAAAATGGAAGAAAGACAGCCTCTTCAGTAAATGGTGCTGGCAAAATTGGTTAACTACTTGTAGAAAACTAAAGCTAGATCCTTATATATCACCCTGCACCAGAATCAACTCCAAATGGATCACAGACCTCGAAGTCAAAGCAGACACTCTGAAAACCTTACAGGATGGAATAGGAGAAACCCTAGGTCTCCTTGGCTCAGGCCGAAATTTTCTGAATAGAGACCCGGAAGCACAACAAATCAAAGAAAGGTTGGACAAATGGGATTGCATGAAGTTGCAGAGCTTCTGCATGGCAAAGGACATAGCTAGCAAGATCAATAGAAAGCCCACAGATTGGGATAAGATCTTCACCAGCCATACAACAGAAAAGGGTCTTATATCTAAAATATACTTGGAACTCAAAAAATTAAATCCCCCAACAACAAATCCTCAAAGAAACAACAGCCCAATAAATAAGTGGGCTAAAGACTTAAAGAGAAACTTCTCTGAAGAAGAAAGAAGGATGGCCAATAGACACATGAAGAAATGCTCAACATCCCTAGTCATAAAAGAAATGCAAATCAAAACAACATTGAGATACCATCTCACCCCAGTTAGAATGGCAAAAATCAAGAACTCTAACAATAACAGATGCTGGAGGGGATGTGGACAGAAGGGAACCTTACTTCATTGTTGGTGGGAATGTAAACTTGTTCAACCACTTTGGAAAGCAGTATGGAGGTTCCTCAAAAGACTCCACATAGAGCTCCCCTATGACCCAGCAATCCCACTTTTGGGCATTTACCCAAATGTTTACAAACAAGACCACACTAAAGCTACCAGCACAACTATGTTTATTGCAGCATTATTTACCATAGCTAAGATATGGAATCAGCCCAGATGCCCCTCAGTAGATGAATGGATCAAGAAAATGTGGTATATATACCCAATGGAATTCTATGCCTCCATCAGAAAGAATGACATTGCCCCATTTGTTAGGAAATGGAAAAACTTGGAAAAAATTATATTAAGTGAAGTAAGCCAGGCCCAAAGAAACATAGGTCCCGTGGTTTCCCTTATTTGCAATATCTAGTATATGTATGAGTCAAGCGAAAAGGTCAGATAATGTGATGTTAGGAAAATGAACCCTTAAATATGTATTTTAATGTTTTTTTTCCTTTCATGCATTTGTTTCTAACGCATTTATAAGATTATCTCTTTGTAGCTTTGTATGTCCCTTCCTCACAGTACCCCCTGCTTTCACTATATTTGATGTCAGTATAACTTGTAGAGGAGATGGGGAAAAACAGGTCGTTTAAGGATACAAGTGGATCTGTTGCAACAATGAGAAGTACAAGTTGTCATGTCGAAAATGAGCTTTACAATGTTGGGAGGGGAGGAGGGCGGGGGGGGGGGGGGGGGGAGGCTGGGAAGGGATGTGAAGGGTAAAGAAAGGAGGAGGCTGCAATGCTTGATAAGAAATGTACGCATTAACCTGCCCATGTAATTGTAACCCCTCTGTACAGTATGTTCACAAATAAAATTAAATTAAATTAAAAAAAAAAGAAATGTACGCATTAACTTGCCCATGTAATTGTAACCCCTCTGTACAGTGTGTTCACAAAAAATAAAAATTAAAAAAAAAGAAAAAAGAAAATTTGGTCTGAACTTGTTTTTCTAGCTTATAGTAATTCTTTTAAAAAGTGGAGGTAAAACATTCTAAATAATTGCTCATGCTGAGTGCTAATAATTACTCATGCTGAGTGCTTAAGTTTGTGGTTAAACAGTTAGTAGAAGGACCACACCAGCTTCATTAAAGCATCAGTCAGTAGTTGATTACATCAGGTACATAGGGAGTGGTCTAATGAGACTAAGGTCAAAAGTTTAACTTTGGATAGATATTTTTTTTCACTACTTCACAGTTAAAGTTGAGAACTTCCTTATTTTCCTTTGCAAATATGCCTTCCTTTTGTAGTCTTTTTTCCTCTTCTATCAGAAAAAAAGAAAGAAAGAGAGAGAGAGAAAGAGCGAGAGAGAAAGAAAGAAAGAGATAGAAATATCTAATTAAACAAAGTGATCTTGGCAAAAAGCCATATTACTTACTTAGGGCATCACGCTGAGGAGAAACTTTTTTTGACATATACTGACATTAACTAAGATGTACAAGGATAAAATTACTGACACAGAATATTTACCAGACATCTAGAAAAGTGCCGGATATTTCTCTTGTTTTGTTTGCTTGTTTATTTATGGTACAGTCCTTGAGCTTACTAAGTAACCCAGTGTTATAGTCATGTACTACCATGCCTACCTCAATCTTGTAACAATTTTGCACCTTACATTCTCATACATTCTGCTGATAGTCCTTCCAGGAATTTCTAATTTGGTCCAATATTTCCTTGTGGCTTGAATCTTAGCATTTTTCTACTCTAGTTCCTTATTTTACTCCAGGACTTGGTATCCTAGTGACTCTTCAAACGTAAGAGGTCTGGAACAAATCCTAGCTCAGGGATTTGTGCTGGTTGCTCCCTTTGCCTGGAATACTCTTCTCTCAAAATATTTTCACGGGGCTTGCTCCCTCTGTATTCACTTGACATCTTCTCAGTGAGACCTTTCTATCTAGTATATTTAAAGTTGTATATCCCCCTTCTGTTCCATTATTATTGGCTTTACTATTTTGCAGAGAATTAAAGCCTCCTAAATTACGTGTCTTTCTCCAGGGATTAAGAAGTGGCAGAGAGGCTGGGAAGGTGGCTCAGTGGTAGAGTGCTTGCCTTGCATGCCTGAGACCCTGGGTTTGATTCCTCAGCACCACCTAAGAAAAAAGAAAAAAGCCAGAAGTGGCGCTATGGCTCAAGTGGTAGAGCGCTAGCCTTGAGCTGAAAAGCTGAGGGACAGTGCCCAGGCCCAGAGTTCAGGCCCCACGACTGGACCAAAAAACAAAAAACAAAAAAGAAAAACAAAAAAAAGAAGTGGCAGAGAGTTTGGGGGCAGGGCAGAATGGTAGATTACAAGCATCCACTGTTTTGACTCATCCATGAATAAGTGTCAGGTAGCAGAGGAGAGACAATCTTCCGCTTTAGAAAGTAATCTCAGTTATTGAATTAGAAGACATATTGGACTGAAAGCAAGACCCAACCATTTGGTGTGCTGGGTGGTAAAGACAAACACAGGCTTAAAGCTGAAAGGACAGAAAAATGTTTTACAAGCAAACAGCATCATAAAAACAAGTGTAGGAGCTAGATTTTTTATCTGACAAGTATAGGTTAAACCAAAATTAGTCAGAAGAGATAAAGGAATCACTTGTATTGATAAAAGCAACGGTCCTGCTCCCCTATTACCCAGCAATCCCACTTTTGGGCATTTACCCAAATGATCACAAACAAGACCACACAAAAGCTACCAGCACAACTATGTTTATTGCTGCATTATTTACCATAGCTAAGAAATGGAACCAACCCAGATGCCCCTCAGTAGGTGAACGGATCAAGAAAATGTGGTATATATACACAATGGAATCCTATGCCTCCATCAGAAAGAATGACATTGCCCCATTTGTTAGGAAATGGAAAGGCTTGGAAAAAATTATATTAAGTGAAGTAAGCCAGGCCCAAAGAAACTTAGGTCCCATGGTTTTCCTTATTTGCAATATCTAGTATATGTCTGAGTCAAGCAGAAAAGGTCAGATAATTTTATGTGTTGGGAAATGAACCCTAAGATATGTATTCAAATGTTTTTTTTCTTTCATGCAATTGTTTCTAACACATTTATAAGATTATTTCTTTGTTGCTTTGTATGTCCCTCCCCCACAGTATAACCCCTGCTTTCACTGTATTTGATGTCGGTATAATTTGTGGAGGGGAAAGGGAAAAACAAATCATTTAAATAGGGATACAGGTGGACCGATTGCAACAATGAGATGTACAAGTCGTTCTGTCGAAAACGAACTTTACAACTTTGGTGGGGGGGGGGGGGTTTGGGGGGAGGATTGGGTGGGGGTGGGGAAGGATGGGAAGGGATGGGAAGGGGAAACAAAGGAGGAGGCTACAATGCTTGATAAGAAATGTACTCATTATCTTGCCCATGTAAATGTAACCCCTCTGTAAAGTATTTTCACAATTAAAAAAAAAAGCAACGGTCCAGCTGGGGATATAGCTATTATAAATCTATATGCACCAGTACCATGATAATTTCATATACAAACACCTACTACACATAAAACTCCCAAATATACCCCAACACCACAGTAGTGAGTGACTTTAACACATCAATCTCATCAATAAATAGGTTGTCCACAAAATAATAATGAAAGTTGAAAATTAAAAGAAACTGTATATTAGATGGATATAATAGACTGATATACAATATTGCATCCAAGAGCCATGACATAAACACACATTCTTCTTGGTGTCCCATGAGATGTTCTTCAAATTAGATTGTATCTTATGGTATAAAGTGATTCTTAACGAACATATGAACATTTAATTTTTTTGGTATTTTGTCAGACAAGCAATGAAACTGAAGCCGTGATTAGCAGTATTCCAAAGGGGTGGGGAGCCAGGACTGGAAAGTCCACAGTTAAATTCTACTGGACATTTTCTCTCTTTTTATGTTAATTTTTTAAATAATTATCTTTAAGTAGTCGGACAAAGGAGTTTCTGTTTAACAAAGTAATTTATGAATACAATATATCGCAATCATTGTCATCCTTTTCAACATTCTCACCCTTCCTTCCCTTCCCCATCCCTCCTCTCACTCTTCTTAATTTTGTAGGATATACCTTGGATTCGCATCTGCATTTCCCTCCTCTTCTCTTCATTCAGATATCCCTTCCCCTGGATCACACTCCACCCCTTTTGAGAACCCACTTTCTAGGTTTTATTTTACTGAACTTTGATTTTGCTTTATTAAGGAATTATAGTATTTGAGATCTCCCTTAAGTCTACTGTATTTCAGTTAACACATTTGTATACACTTGCATACCATCCAATGTATTTCTTTTTGCATTTGTAAGTTGAATCTCACTTCACATATAAGAGAAAACATGCATCCTTTGTCTCTCGGGATCTGACTTACTTCACTTAATGTAATTTTTTCCCAAGCCTTTCCATTTCTTTACAAATGGTACAATATCATTCTTTCTAATGGATGAATAAAATTCCACTATGTATATATGCAATATTTTCTTGATCCATTCATCCATTGAAGGGCATCACAGCTGATTCTGTATATTGGCTGGGGAGTAGTGCTGCAATGAACATGGTTGTGCTGAAATTTTTTTTAAAAAAACATTTAAGATTTATTTTCTTCAAACTAGTCAATGAATGACACAAAGAATTCTATCAACACCTTCTGTAAAATCATCATTATGATCATTCTAAAGCAGATAAGGAAACAATAAGAAGTGAATATTACAGACCAATTTTTGTGATGAACATAGACAGAAAATATTTTAATAAAACACTTGTTTACCAGTTAGTACAGTAAAAACATCATTCACCATGGTTTCCTTCTAGAAATGCAAAGGCCATTCAATATACTGGAATCAACAAATATAGCATATTCCAGAGTAAAGGGGAAAATTATGGGATACAGAAATAGTTTTGACAGATTTCAACATTTCATGATAAAAGATCTGAGACAATAAGAGATAAAAGAACCATGTCTCAACAGTAAAGGCAGTATATGACAAACAGCATCACACCAACTGAAAAAACCATTTCCTCTAAAGTCAGCCATGAGACAAAAGGTGTCCATCCTCTCCTCTCTTACACATTCTAGTACTTGAATTTTTAAAGCAATAGAGAGAAAGACATAAAGGGGATACAAAAAATATGAAGTAAAAATTCCCATATTTGTAGATGGCATGATCTTCTACTTAGATCTGTCCAAACTTTTTGGTAAATTGCAGAAAACAAAGACAAAATATAACAAAACAAAACAAAACAGTAGTTTTCTCTATGTCAGTAACAAACAGGCTGAAAAAGAAATTAGGTAAACAATCTCATTCACACTAACCTCAAATATATCACTCTTTAAGGATGGGGATGATATATCTGTGGTGTCACTTCAGGCCTCAGCAAGTAAATAATACAGCTAGGTTATAGCATGGACTGCCATAGAGTGTTTAAAGGATGCTGTTTGATGCACTTGAGCAAAGCTTGCCAAATTTCCCCACACTCAACATGTACCCCTATTCAAGACTACTTATTACTCAGCCTCAAGTAATAATTATTAGAGGTGTCTGAAGACACCTCTACTTATTTCTGTGAAGGGGTAGTTAATGATTTCTAGGCATATTTTGATTTTTTGTCACCCTCAATACACAATCGTCAACTGAATGGCTCAGTCCTGCTGTACATAGGGTGGATCCTCAATTTTGTAACAGATTTTTGAAGCCTCCCTGTCTGCAAATGGTCACAATGGAATTATGGTCAAAGATGGTACCATTGACAAAGGTGAGCCTTCCTAGGCAATTTGAGAACAGCAAAACAAGTAGATGTATTTCTTCTGAAAATTTAGCATGCTAATGTTTTAAAGAAATGTTCTAGATGTCATCAGGCTTTCAGAGTGATGGGGCAATACAATGTTCTAATACTAACAATTATAACAGATAAAGAGGTGATTGTAGATGCCTGGAATCTTCGTGCCCATCAGTCTTGTAAGCTTGAGGAGTGTATGTACATACTCTAGGGGGCACTGTTGTTCAGTGTGAGTATGCTTTGTAAATTCTAGAAAGTAGCTATTGATAGACATGGAATCCATACTAGTTTCAAAGTAAGAAACAATTAATTAGTTGATGACACTATCTTTTCCTGTTTTCCTCAAGGTAGATAAAGTAGCATTTTTCCTACTGGGATTTATGTTTTTCTTTATTTTTTAAAATGACCTTTTAGTAGTTGCCGTTTAACAAAGCAGTTTATGAATAGGAAGCATCTTTTTTGGGGGGGATGGGGGGGGGTCCTGTCGTGGGGCCTGAACTCTGGGCCTGCGCCTGGGCACTATCCCTCAGCTCTTCAGCTCAAGGCTAGCACTCTACCACTTGGGCCACAGCGCCACTTCCGGCTTTTTTCTTTTTTCTTATGTGGTGCTGAGGAATCGAACCCAGGGCCTCGAGCATGCAAGGCAAGCGCTCTACCACTGAGCCACCTTCCCAGCCCACGAAGCATCTTATCAATGTCACCCCTTTCAACACTCTCACCCACCTCTCCTCTACATACCTCTTCCCTCATTTACACTGAATTCTCGACTGCATTCTCTCCCTCTTCTCTTCATTCATCTACCCATTTCCCCCTGATATCTACGGTACCCCTTTCAAGTACCTGTGTTTATGTTGTTAAATTTTGACTTCACTTTTCTAAGGAAGACATTGCTTGAGTTCTCCCTTTAATCTATCATATTTGGATTAGTACATTTGTATACACTTGTATGCCATCCAATGAGTAAACATACTTAGTTTATAAACTAAATCTAGCTCCCACATATAAGGAAACACATGCATCTTTTGTCTTTCTAGGACTGACTTACTTTCCTAATAGGTGAATTTTCTTCTTTCTTTCTCTCCTCTCTCTTCCTCCCTCTTTTGTTGAAAGTTTTGGAGGAATTTTCTAGATAGTTGCACCACATTTTAGCCATACCTCTAGCATACCTCTTTATTTTTAACTAAACATGTTCTTTTACCTTTTATGTCACCAAGATTACTTTTCTGGGTATTTATAAATTACAAATAAAAATCAATGACAGTATCCAGGCACAGTGACTCATGCTTGTAATCCTAGCTACTCAGGAAGCTGAGATTTGAGGATTGCAGTTTGAAGTCATCTGGTCAGGAAAGTCCCTGAGACTCTTCTCTCTAATGAATCACCAAAAAAAAAAAAAAAAAAGGCTGGAAGTGAAGCTATGGCTCAAGAAAAACAGCCTTGAGCAAAATAGTTCAGAGACAGCACCCAAGCCCTGAGTTCAAGTCCCAGGCCTGGAACAGATACAAAAAAATTTGTGCCAGTGATTTGTTTTAAGTTTTTTGAATATCTTCTGTGGTGAAGTGTTTTGAAATTGGATTTTAATGGTAGTACACATTTCTATAGATACACCAAACACAATTAAACCTCACACTTTAAGACCTATAGATATACTTCACTAGGCTAGTGAAAATTTAGTTTTTCTTTTAGCAAATATTAACTTACTATAAAAATAAGACTATCAAACTTTCTGGGAGTGATTGACAGTGAGGATGGCCTTCAACTTCCAGAAACAAAAAAGAAAAAAGTCAACAATCCATTCAGTTCAGTATTCGATGGCATTTCAAGGCAATTTTTTTTTTGGGGGGGTCCGGTCATGGGGCCTGAACTCTGGGCCTGGGCATTGTCCCTCAGCTCTTCAGCTCAAGGCTAGTGCTCTACCGCTTGGGCCACAGCGCCACTTCCGGCTTGTTTTTCTTTTTGCTTATGTGGTGCTGAGGAATCGAACCCAAAGCCTCAGGCATACAAGGCAAGCGCTCTACCACTGAGCCACCTTCCCAGCCCTCAAGGCAATTCTTAATGAAACATTAAATAGGAGGTATGTTACTATTGATGGCCAGTAATTTGTTAGCCATGATAGAAGCATGGGAGATTTGAAATGATTTATTTCTTATATAATTTAAGGTACTTAAATCTAGGACAATGTTCCTCCCACTCACTTGCATTTTCTTTTTCTGGGTGGAGTAACAAATAGTGCTTTGGGCATTGTTTATAAACCCAAATATTCCTATATAGATGTATCACATATTTTTATCAGATGCATCAGAGTGGAAAAAAAGTCCAGACAGACCTAGTGTATAACTCTTGATTACCTGCAAACGGCTAGATAACAACAACAACAATCCCATCATTCTTTTCACATTCCTCAGTTCCCCTATTTTTCCTTTCCCATCTGCAGCCAGAACTGATGAGATAGCACTGTTTCCCAAACTCATCTGAGTACAGAAATGTCCGATTGTGAAGTACATGGCATTCCGAGGAACATGGCATTTGTGAACCCCAAGGGAATGCTGCCGTGCCAGCTGGGATGGCACAAGGTGGTGACTGTTTCTGTAGGAGAGCAACAGGAAAACTGAAAACCCATCTAAATCCACAAGCAAGCTCCTACATGATGTATTCCTCTCTTTCCATTTTGGAGTCTTCGCAGACTACCTTATACCTTATATTGCAAGTACTTATTCTGGTACTTCTTACACTTAAAAATATATTTTCTTGTAAAAATGCTGTACAGAGAGGTTACAGTTACATCAGTAAGATAATGAAAAGGTATAAAGGAGTAAAACAAAGGAGAGAGTAACAATGCTTGAAAAGAGAAGTACTCATTACCTTCTTACACTTTAATGTACATATAGATTGTTGAAATCAAATTTTCAATGACTGGGTCTGTATTTCTATGAAGCTTTTTCTTTAGCAACCGCTCAGGTGTCCAAGTAGAGCATTTTGTATAGGAAAGGTTTCAGATATAATTACACTAGTTCAGAGATAAAACAGAAGATTTTATTGAAGTATAGCAGTTCTTCTGTTTCTTAATGTCTAGGCAGTAAAAGTGGGTTTTCAGGGTTCTTCCCCCCCCAAACACGTGCATCATCTCATGTCTGATTTAATTGCTATGTATATACCTAAAGATAAAAATTGTTATAACAATTTCCCTAAAGACAAGACTATTCAATTCTAAAGAAAGGATATTTACCAGGATTGTAATGTTAGTTTTAATATTAAATGTTGGAGACAGAATACAAAAGTGAAAAGGGAGGTTCTATAGGTTATAGAGTCAAAATACACAAAAGTAGATCACTAGATGTACAAGCTCTAGAAATAAAATCCTAACTATAAAGAGCCTAAAAGCACAAAAGACATTTCAGCATATATTTGGTGAAACTGTCAGAGAAGATGTTAGAAAAGGGAATCCAGAAATGTACTGGAACTATTCTGTGAGGGCCAGTGTTTGAGGGTTATTACCAATAACTTAGTGGAGAGGAATGGAGACTGAATCAGTGCCCCATTCTTACTCGTCATGGAGAGTTCTATTTAATTATTATGCCTAGTAAATGATGATTGTTCTCACAGAAGGAACGAACAGGTGGCTTCTAATGAATCATGGGCCAACCTCAGCTTAGCTGTTTCAAATGATCTTGGGTAATATTTAGTAGCATCAATATCTTTTTTATGAAAACATCTTGTACTCAGCCCTTTCTGAATGTAGCAGTGGCTTCTTGCCCAAATTGTTTTTAGAAGTAGAAGAAAGTCTTGAGCTATTACTCAGTATTCTTTTTCCCAGGATAATTCTGTATCATAATGAAATGAAGAGTTTCATGGTGTATGAAACAATTAATTGTGTGTGTGTGTGTGTGTGTGTGTGTGAACCCTAGGGCTTGAACTCAGAGCATGGGCAAAGTCTCTGAGCATTTTTCCTCAAGGCTAGCACTCTACTATTTGAGCTTTAGCTTCACTTAAGGCTTTTTGGTGCTTCACTGGAAATAAATGTTTCATGGAATTTCCTTTCTGGGTTACCCTTGAATTCGGATACTCAGATCTCAGCTTCCTGTGTAGCTAGGATTATAAACCTGAGTCACTGGCACTTGGATTTAAGTATCTTTTGCTAGATGCATTTCCTCTTTTTAGCCTTTATTTTGATTTAAAAAACTTCTTGTTATTATAAAGGTGATGTACCCAGGGGTTACAGTTTCATAAGTCAGGTAAGAGTACATTTCTTTTTGGGCAATATCACCTTTTCCCTCTCTCCTAGTTTGATTTTTTTCCTCTTTTTAATCTTTAAAATATAGTGCATAGGGTTTTTCTGTGAGCTCTCTGGATGTTATCTTTTTGTTTTCTCTAACTGTTCTCATCCTGTAAAATTACTAAAATTACTAAAAATTGCTATTGGTCTAAAACCAGTAGTTCTCAACTTTGCTTTAAAAAAGTGAAAAGAATTAAGATTACCTTGCTAGAGAGCAGTTGCCTTAGATACAATGAGGGGAGGGAAGTTCTATTGTTCCACTTTCACACATGTACATGAATTCTTTTTACCTTATTTGCCCTTCTTTACCCTCTTTCTTCACTTCCTGCCTCTCCTAGCACCTATACCCAAGAGGGCATGTGTCGGCATCCTAGTACTCATTTTTGTTAAGGAGAATATTAATTGTCTAAAATGATTTCACCATAGCAAAATATAATCAAGTTGATCACACATACACACAAAGAAACAATCTTGAATGTGCTTAGGTTTATCTTTTATAAGCATAGAAGAGAAAATATGTGACCTTTTATTGGAACCTGATATACTTTGCTTAATATGATGGGTTTCAGACCCATCCACTTTGCTGCAAGGACATAATCCCATTCTTCTTTATTTGTAAATAATACTCAATTCTTTGTGTGTGTGTGTGTGTGTGTGTGTGTGTGTGTGTGTGTGTGTGTGTGTGTGTGTGTGTGTATTCTTGATCCATTTATCAATGGTAGGACATGTGGGCTGTTTCTATAAAAAAAAATGCCTATTGTGACTAACATGAGTGTGCAGGTAGCTCGTTTGTATCTTAACTAGATATGTTTTTAGTCTCCTCCTTCTTCCTCCTCTTCCCCCTCCTCTTCTTTTTCTTCTTCTTCTTTTTCTCCTTCTCCTCTTTCCCCTTCCCCCTTCTCCTCCTCCTCCTCCTCCTTCTTCCTCCTCCTCTCCTCCTTCTCCTCCTTCTCCTCCTCCTCCTTCTCCTTCTTCTCCCTTTTCTCCTTCTCCTTCCTCTTCTTCTTCCTCCTCTCCTCCTCCTCCTCCTCCTCCACCTCCTTTGCTCCTCCTCCCCCTCGCCCCTCCTCCTCCTCCTCCAACTCCTCCTCCTCTCCTCCTTCCCCTTCCTTCCTCTTTTTGTCAGTAATAGGGCTTGAACTCTGGGCCTGGGCATTGTCCCTGAGTTCAAGAAGCATTCTACCACTTGAGCCACAGTGCCACTTCTGGTTCTCTGATGATTAATTGGAGATAATAGTCTCACAAACTTTTCTGCCCAGGCTGGCTTTGAACTGCTATCCCCAAATCTCAGCCTTCTGAGTAGCTTGGATTACAAGCATGAGCCACCAGTACCTGGTGCATTTCTTCTTTTGAGAAGTGTTGTTTTATTCATGCTCACACACATGCTAATTGGGTCATTGACTCTAGTTGTTTGGACTCCCTGAATATTCTGCTTGTTAGTATCTTGTCGTATGAATCGTGAGCAAAGATCTTGCAATCTGAGGCTGTCTTTTAAGTTTAGTGACTTTCAAGCTAGCTACTTTCTTTACAGAGCAGAAAGCTTTTGATCTTGATACAATTCCTCTTGTAAATCTGCACTTCTTTTTGTTGATACATTAGAGTTCTATTCAGAAAGTTACTGCCCATGCCAATAAGTTCTAGTGTTTTTCACATTTTTTCCTGTGATATTTTTAAAGTTTCAAGCATAAATGAACATGCTAAAATGAAACTTCTTTTGCAATGAGTTGTTGCTAATAAAAATGGCATGAAAAGAAGATAGGATGAAAAGAGAAAATTAACAATACAGATAATGGGTTTAAAATACCTGTCAAAGTGTTTTAGGGAAAAAGTAGTAGAAAATGAGGGAGGGGAAGAGGAGTAACACAGTTCAGAAAAGAAATGTACTCATTACCTGAGCTATATAACTGTAACCCCTCTGTACATCACTTTTACAATAAAATTTAAATTAAATAAGAGTGCTCTCTGTTAGGAAAAGGAAAACAGAAGTGAGGCAATACAGTTAGAAAAGGAATAATATTCAAGAGAAGAATATGCACATATGTACATATATGGTCATAAGCATATATACATATATATGAATATAAATGTATATATATAATGGAGATATGAACTCATGTCCTTGTGCATGTAAGATAGGTGCTCTACTACTTAAACTAGCCAACTAGCCTTCTTTGCTTTTGTTTTCAGATAAGGTCCTATGTTTTTGCCCAGGTGGGACTTAGACAACAATCCTTCTATGTCTCTAAGTAGCTGATACTACATATTTTAGGTATAAATCATCACACCTGGCCTATTCATTGCAAATATTACAGTCAGACAAGTACCTTGCCAAAGATCTAGTAGTACTAGACTAAAAACTTGTCTAGGCTAAGAAAAATATATCCAGTGGCTTTTTTTGATCCGCAGACTTAATCTGTGAGTTAAATATCCTATTATTGATGCTGACACATTTCTTCGTACCTCTAGCAAAGATATAAATATACAATGGGACCTACCATTGCCTCTCTGTGGAATTATTCATCAGTATGTACTTTTTAAGAAGTCAGTTCTATTTCCAACCATTTTAGAATGTTACCCAGTGAATGACTTCAAGCTTGAGATAGTGACTGTATTTTACATGCACTGAGTATGTTCTAATGTTAGACTCCAAGAATACCCTTAAAAGGAGCAAAAATAAACAGGATGGAAGATAGACAGCCTCTTCAACAAATGGTGCTGGCAGATTAGCTATACACATGTAGAAAACTGAAGTTAGATCCTTATCTATCACCTTGCACCAGAATCAATTCCAAATGGATCAAAGATCTCAAAGCAAAAGCAGATACCCTAAAAATATTATAGGAAGGAATAGAGGAAACACTAGAACTCTTTGGCACAGATCAAAACTTCCTAAGAAAAGACACAGAAACACAACAAATCGAAGAAAGGTTGGATAAATGGGATTGCATTAAACTGCAGAACTTCTGCATGCAAAGGACATATCTAGTAAGATCAATAGAAAGCCCACAGATTGGGAAAAGACCTTTACTGGCCATACAATGGACAAGGGTCAAGGCTAAAAAAATTAAATATCCCCCAAACAAATACTCAAAGAAACAACCACTCCATGGACAAGTGGGCTAAAGACTTAAAGAAAGACTTCTCTGAAGAGGATACAAGAATGGCCAATAGACACATGAAGAAATGCTCAACTTCTCTGGCCATAAAAGAAATATAAGTCAAAACCACATTGAGATTTCACTTCATTATAGTTAGAATGGCCATTATCAAAAATCTAGTAACAACAGATTCTGACAGGAATGTTGCCAAAAGG